TTTGAAAATAAATGTTTTTCGTTTTTTGCATATCTTGTTCTCTGTGTAACCTTTTATGTGTTTTAAAGGAGTGTCCGGCGTATCAGTTGAAATAAATGTCCGGATGGCTTTTCAGAAGACCTACCGTACTGGGCCTGAGGACTGATGAGTCTCATTTCAATCCTGCAGGGCACCAGCACTCAGGTTTTTATAAATCTTATTATCCACTTCAGAGCTGCGAAAAAGAATAAATTTGGTCCATGAACCATGATTAGACATACATGGCTCTACACACATAGCCCTTGAGCTCTGGAGTTAAGGATCGCTGCTGCTCATTGTGATGTATGAAACCGAATCTGCGCTGTGGATCATCAAAACCCCCGGTGCCCAAGGATTTCTCTTATCTCAGTTTGACTCCTTTGTTTCTGTAAATCCAGTGAACGCTTGTGAAAAGCTTTGTGATGAATATGAAAAAATACTGGTTACAGCTCATCTACCCCTACCTTGCCATAAAATGTCCCAACATCTTGCATTCTGAGTGAAGAATAATTGCATTGGCTTAATGCCAAAATTGTAAAATGTTAAACAAGTTTTTTTATGTCCTTCAACCTGCTGGGGTCAATTTGGGTTGATAGTAGAGTGATGAATATGAAGATTTAAAAACAATTATGAATATTGCATTTCTGTAAGTGGCATCTCTTCTGTCTAAGTTTGTCTTCTGTATTGTTGTATTTTGTTATCTTTTAACAGTATTTACATTGTGCAAAATACGATCAATACATGCATTTGTAAAATTACTGTTTATTTACCATACGGGGGATCTGAGTGGAATATAATATCTACATGTGAAACTGTAGTGCCTTGAAAATAAAGATCGTGTGCTGTGTGCCTTTGGGGAAATGAATTTTAACGATGAGTGCAATGATTCACATTAAACAGGCATTTCTCATGGATGATTCTGAGCAGCTGGGTACTGTGCATGAAAGAGATCAGCGTGTTAAATCTACATCTTGTGTGTATTTATTGAGGTAATGTGGCAAAATAATAAAAAAGCAGATAGAAACGTTGGTTCTTCAGCAAAAAATATGGACTTGAAATCCAGAGATGATATGCCCAGGCTTGGCAATGCATGTAAATGCAAGACCTGATCTGAGAATAATGTGTTCAGTTTTGGTCACCATTCCACACATTACGTTATAGTTCAGAATGGAGCTACAGGAATGAATCCTGGTGAATCCCCTGGGGGGAAAAAAGTACAGCAAAAAAAATAGTTCACCATTTGCTGCATGTTCTAGCCATCAGCTTTCTCAATCGGTTCCCTCCAGCTGTACAGCTGGTTACCAGCAAGTCAAGTCACACACTCCTAGTTACCCAGTGCTGCGGAAACCAGGGTGACCTCCAGTCTGATGAAGCTTAAGACCTTTATTTCCCGTTTTGTCCTTTCGGTTTGGGATGAGCTGTGCTCTGATGAGCACGCTGTATATGAACGAGACGAACACTGCCCTCTGCCGTCTCTCCAGATGAGGACAGATTACCCATGTGTCCGCTTACATGGAAACAATGGGATTTGAAAAGGTAAATTCTCTGGGAACTTTGAAACACATTTAATACCTAGAGGATTCTCTGCGCTACCATAGTGAGTACAAGTTTGTGTGTGGGCACAGAATTTAATGGAGCTAAACCAACTGAAAAAAAAAATACTTCGTTTAAACAGGGAAATAGTCCTGTAAGGTAATGAGGCAATTTGTGCAACTTTTTAAAAGCGCAGTAATGGAATTAAGTGCACAACTAGAGGTTGGCAAGTGCTTTAACACTTAAAACAGTCAAAAGGGATTCACTGACTTCACGAGTCCGTCACAAAAACGTTGTGTAACGTGAGACGTCTAGAAGAGATATTTTCGTAGAGATCGGTCGAGCCCGGACTGAAGAGATCCACACCACTGCCCTATTTACACATATGTAGAATTGGACAGCTTAAACTGAGCACACCAGGGAGAGACAAGGGGGTATTTGCGTTTGACCTTACAACAGACTGGCTCATAAATCATGAAAAACTCAAGTTAAACCACGTCAACGCGATTAAAATGTGCCCAGTTGTAAACTGGGATAAACGCTGAAGTGAAAGCTGGATCACTCGGGGAAAAAAAAGAAAAGGCAGGAGCGAAGGGCATGTTTTTAGCTCTTATTTGCTCAGCTGCTCTCAAACATCTTAAATAGCCTCATCACTTGCGTCCAGCCATGTTGCAGACTAATGAGGTAATTTAGTGGTTACGCAACAGCTAATAATGACTTCAGTGTATCGCTGTCAGTCATGAATGATCTGTTAGTCGAAATGATACCAAAAGCGTTTATTCAATATCTAAAATCTGTATACTTCGCAGAAATAGAATAGTTCAGGTGGGTAGAGAAAAAAAAGAAGAAGAAAGAAAACTGTGTTTTCTTTCTTCTTTTTTTTTCAGCATGGAATAAACCTATTACTTGTTCCGAAATAGGATAGTGCCCAGGACATGAAATCAAACGTGTCCGAAATTCAGTCTGCGAAAAATCACATCTTCACGCTCTTGATGTGTTACAGTTTGAGACGGCAAAAAAATAATAAAAAAACAGTGAGAAATAACATGCGTGTAGGGACAGATTTTCTTTGCTCCGCTAGTTGCACTCAACCGCAGCAAAAAAAAAAAAACAAACCTTGTGAATAACAGTTACGCGTGGGTATACCGCAGGTAAGACAGTTTATATTAAATATCTCCTACGAAGGCAATGCACACGTTAGTTTTAAAGCACCAGTGTAGTAATAATGCATTGCATTGCAAACAACGCTTCAAGACAATTGTGTGCTGGCGGAAAAAAAAAAAGGAGAGTCGAGCCAGCCAGGAGTCGAACCTAGAATCTTCTGATCCGTAGTCAGACGCGTTATCCATTGCGCCACTGGCCCGCTGCTGCAGAGGAGACAACTTCCCTATTCATCGCCAAACTGGTGCGCCCCGCCCCCGTCTCCGTTCGCTCCTGGCAGCACGATCCAATCACAGCCCGCGTCGCTACCAGAAATGACCCAATCAGAACGTCGATCCTCCACCCGGTAAAGTTTCGCCCAATCGTAGCTCGCCCTTTCTACCAGGAATGAGCCAATCGCGTGTCGGAGAGCGGCGCGCTTGTTCCGCCAATCACGCGTCGCTGCGGCTGTTCGAACTCGCGGCGCCAGGGGGTCTTGAGCTCGTTTATCAATTCAATTCAATTCAAGGTGCTTTATTAGCATGACCGATGGGTACAATCAGTGTTGCCAAAGCAAATAAAAACTCTCTTTATTTATGTATATTGTCTCTGCAAACACACTTTTCCTGTGTGCACAGCGCAGGACACGTCTCCCGTGTGCCACAGTTGTATGCGTGGGTCACGGTTAAGCCTGCGCTCTTCTTAAACGGTTCATTTCACCTTCACTGTTGTAACTGGCAAACACGTCAGCCACTGGAGTGTAAAAAAAAAGAAACTGGTTTGAAATGCAAAATGTCTTGAATGCGTCTGAGCAACGGTGTCTTTTGAAAGTAACCAGAACCTTGGACAGCCTTCACGATGTGTTGCTTTAAAGCTCTTAGCCAGGTCACTTTGAAGTAGCAACACTTATTACACAGACACATGAAGAAGGCTTCGCAGCCGAAACGTTGTGTTCTCTTTCTTCTTCTTTTTTTTCAGCATGGAATAAACCTATTACTTGTTCCTATTTTTAATAATTGTTAATTCACAGCCGACACGTTGTGTTTTCTTTCTCCCTTTTTTTTCAGTATGGAATAAACCTGTTACTTGTTCCTTTGCAGCCAACGCATGCTGACGCAGCTCCCCACCTGAATTTTTTCATCTTAAACAGAGAAGACTACAAAGGAACCCGGGTCAAGTGTTCAAAAACATTGACAAAGTCAACCTAGTGTATTTCTTCAGACTGAAGAGTGAAACACGAAGCAGGAGACACAAGTGGAAAGTAAATGAAAGTACTGTTAAACCAGACAACAGGAGTTACATTTGTATTCAAAGGGTTGTGGGGTGTGGAAGAATCTGTCCGGCTACATTATTGACACTGTCGCTCTTCTTTAAAGAAACAGCTGGATGAGCTCCTGGGACCAATTAACTACGAAATACCGACCAAGACAGATGTCCCAGTGACCGCCAGTCATGTGACCTTTCACGTGTTCTCATGTTGGTAAAGAAAAACAACTGGGATTGCTGTTGCTCTTTACGTATTAAGGATTGTTTTTATTTTTTTTGTTTTTAGTTTTGTGTTGCAATTCACATGAAAACCTGTTCTGGTAAATCTGGCGACATAAGGTGTATACTGTGGTTGAACTTGAACAGCCCATTAAAGACAAGCATGAGGTTTAACATCAAATAGTTGGGATGCAGATGCTATATGCGTTAATTAATATGAATAATTAATCGATTCATGAAATGTTATTTTTAAGTGTCCCGTGAATTAAGTTTAATAAGTACATTCGTGTCGGTTATAATTCTTTTAAGAGTCCACTGAAATTGGCACTAATGTTGTGCATATCTTTTAAACATGTCAAAGAAAATCAGTTACTAATCTATAGTTTTTTTTGCTTTAACTCCGTCGTGATTTTCCCGGTATGGAGAATCGAAGTCACACCTTTCGGTTACAAGGCGGAAACGTCAAACGTCAAACGTTTGTATGACGTCATACGTGACGCAGCAATTCCTGGTAGCTCGGCAGCGACTAGCAGGCGATATATGTAAAGGTGCATGTTAAATTGAAAGGTTTTGATATTATTTTATATTTTGTTAGATCTGATTTGGATAAAGGATATGTTTTTATTATGAATCTGTTAATTATTTTGGCAAAATATCCACAAATGTAAATGGTCCAATACTGCTCCCTCTATTCATGCTTTTAAAGTTGAATTCCTTTTTCATTTACATTCTATTGGAAATTAAAAGAATCAAAAGGAAAGACATACAATGGACATTTCTAATAAGTATAATTTTTATTCTTTACTAGTGTGAATTACTCTGGCTTTGAAGTGTCTGATTCTGTATATATGTCATTATTCTGTCTCCTTTTTTGTATTTCTGGTGTTTAAATAAAACAATATTTAAAAAAAAGACTAGCAGGCGATACCTTCTCTGACATGACGTAGCCAAAAAAAGTCAATGTTTAAGAATAAAAGTTGGCAACTCTGATGAATACATGAATACACAGTTCAAATAACTTCATAAAGATTACCTTTCGCTAGGCAGGCTGCATAGCTAGGGTTACCAGTCGTGTTCAGTTCTTCGAGTATTTTTTATTCTATTTCATCAAAGTATACTTAATTAAAGCTGTTGAATATTGACATAACCTGAAGATTTTCATTGTTGGGAGTGCAGTGCCTACCGGGATTTATTTATTTTTTGTACTTGTCAGTAAGAACACCGCTTCACCGGCCAAGAGCAAACCTTTATAACTCCCCCGCCCGCATCACCACTGAAAAGAATCATCAGATGAAATAAATAATTTTTTAAAAGAACGAGCTCGTTTTGCAAACGAAGCGCCGGTCGGCGGCGGGTCGCGGTGTGAAAACGAGCTGGCGGAGCCGCCGGCGCGACGCGACACGTCACCGAGGTCAGAGCGACACCGGAGCAAAGATGGCGGCCGCCTACGAGAGCTTTAAGCTGTGAGTGCATCCTATTTTTACCTTTCCCCCCCCAAAGACTTCGGCGATTCAGTGGACGGGCTGAGTTCATGCTAAGGGGAGCCAGGAGCGGGGTGAAAAACGGGGGCGCTGGGTGCCGTTCCTGCAAGGGCTTTGACCCGGTTTATTTTCCCGAGGAGTGCTTGTCACGGCTATGGAGCTCTTGGCTGTACTTAGTACTCGGAAGTGGCGAGTCGCTCAGATGATCGGGCGGACTGAGCTGGACTGAGCTCTGCGAGCGGTGAAAATAAGCGAGGTCACAGGGCTGTGGTGCATGTGTCCGATGCCGCGTCGGCTTAGTAACAGACCCGTTTTTGTGTGCAGAGGAAAAGCTTGCAACTCGGGATGATTATGTCGGGGATTGCCGTATGCCGGGATGCTTTTAATAAAAATAAAAAAAAAATCATCCCACCCAAGCCATGCAGAACTCCGCTTTAGATTTCTGTAGGTAAGGGATCGCTAGCGACGACACAGATCTAATTCCCCTCGTTTACAGTGACGATTTCTACTCCACTGCCGGTATAATTTCACTGACTCCTTCAGCAACCCAGCAGTCAGAGCAGGAAGTCCGGTGTTCTGTAGTTAAACCGGGCAAATCGTATTTAAAGGTGGAAGCGTCTGGACTGATGGTAGTGACATTCTGTTTGGGATGATGGGTATTGCCGTGAACACGTAATTAAGAACTGCTGTATCCGTTTGAAATAAACGAAAGAATAACCTGCAGTATGTACAATTTCATGAGAAAGACTGAGTGTACCTTTTGCAAAATGTCAGCAATACCATTCAGACTGTGTATGGTAAGATCATGCTTGAAAGACAGGTAGACAAGAAAAAGTGGTTACCAAAGTGACTACTGGTGTCTGTCCTGGCTTGGGTAGTTGAAAGAAGTTGCTTTCTTGTAAATATGGAATCCCACACCATGTTGGGTTCCAGTGTATTTCTATTTCTTATCCAGCAGCGCAGTGCACGTTTAATTTTAAAAAACAAACTACATATAAGAAGAATTTCAGTTTTTTTCAGCTTTCACCCACATGAGATCTGATGTCCTGTTACGTCTTCAATAAAAGAACAGAACTCTGCAAATACAGGCCCACAAACAAAAGAACACGACTGCATATTTGGAGGTGATTAGTGCAGTGCCACAGGGATCCGTTACCCAGCCCTGTTGTTGAAGCCGATCCTTGATTTCTTTCGGGGAAACAGCTGGAGGAGATCCTCCGATCGGTTACCCACTGACTACCCAACGGGCCAGACAGCCTCCTCTCGCTTGTAAAGTTTTAGAGTTACAAACGCTGCGAATCTCAGTAGTGCAGTAGCTGTTGGGTAGAATCATGGTGGTGGGTCATGGGTTCGATCCTGGACTGGTGAACCCTCTGGGTGGAGTTTGCATGGCCTGCCTGTGCGTGTCTGGTAAAACGTGGGGAACTACTGTAGGTGCGTGTAACTCATGGTGAGGAAGAGTGTGTGAGCCTCGGCAGCCTCAGCCCGGATTGAGCTGTATCTCCTGCTGTCTTCCTCCACCGCTCCTGCTCTGTCTGAATGTGGCTGCTGTCCATCCCTTGGAAACCTGCCGCTCCTGCTGGAGTCACAAAGCCGAGGAGACGTGTGCGTAGTGCCGGCGCGCCCTGCCCTGCGGGGGTGAGCCCGTGAGGTATCTCCGTGAGGAGATAAGAGACCCTAATATATACTTTAAAAGCAGTCTTGTGCCAAAAACCATCTGTACCCAGTGCCAGATAAGATTGCTTGCTGTTTTTGTAGCTTTGACTTCCAGTAAGCCATTGGCTACATTCCATGTTCTTTAAAGTAGGTGTTTAGGGAGAGTGATTGATTTTCAGGGTGTGGTCCAGTAGGTGCTGGACGAGGCACACCCAAGCAAGTTACCGGTGTATTGGAAACAGATTTTGTAAGTGCACACATATGAGTCCTGCTTCTAGGTTTGAAAGTACAGTACTTAAAATAGCTCCTCATAGGCGCCGTAGCTGTATGGAAAACTTGTTTTCAGGTTTCGGAGAGTATTCTAGATTGCTCAGATTGACTGTGGGCTGCCCCTTGCATGTAAATATTGTAAGTCAAGCGAGGCAGAAGCAGTAGGCTTCACTACATTTAGCAAGCAAGAGTGTCTCGGGATTACTGACTTTTGCTTTCAAAGCTGAGGAAAAGGCTCTGTAGGCTGCCAGTGTCTTCAGCCTGCGGGTATACCATTGCAACGTATTGTAAACAGGGGTGGGGGATTCACAAAATACAAATCGATTCACTTTTTTTAGCCTTTTAAATTTAAGGGCTCGCTTATTAACCGAAAATATGCTGTCTGTCCACTCAGTGCATTCAAGACTTCACATCCTGATTGTTTAGATGTTGCCTGAGGACCAGTGGATGTTAATGTCTCGCCCACCATTATATAAGTTTATAATAGGACTGGTTTGCTTTACACATTTTGCTTTAAAGGCAGTCTTTACTGCATTAAGGTTCCTCAGTGATACATTGGTGTCTCATTATTAATTTCCTGTACTTTCCTGTTTTCGCTCATACATTATTTTCTCAACTTCCTGTTAGCTTGGCTGTTCCACAATGTGCTGTGTACTGGGCTCTTGTCGGCTGAGCACTCAACAAACTCAGCTCTCATCACTGCTTCCCTAACCTGACAGACAAGAGTCAGGACTGATCCAGCTTGTTCCTAGGCTGTGTTGCAGGTCTCTGAACCTGTCATCACAGACAGGGCCACTCATGTTTATCGTAGGCTTGCAATCCCATGAAAATCGATGTGCATATTGCCATTTTGTGATTTATCTTTTCCTGGAGCGCATCAGTTGTGAAACTTATGTCTCGTCCGCTTATGTAAGGAGCTCGCACAGCAGGGCTCTTCTGCAAAGGAGCCAGTAATATTTAAGCTTTTGTGCTATAGTGTGTAACATAAACCCAAGAAGAGCATTAACCAGCAAAGGCCGGATTCCTGTATGAGTCCCTTATGAATAGTTTGCATCCTGCCTAACCTGTGTCAGCAAGAAATCTGAAAGAGTAGCAGAACGCGTTGTGTAAGCAGGTTTATGGAATGTGCATCCTATTGTTTTGCACGATATTCCAGTATACTGAGTCCTGATAAACATGCTGATTAATAATTCTTCCTTTTGTGATGAAGAAGTCATCCTTAAAAGTCTTCCAAATGGGGCTCCGTGTACTAGGAGTTATGAGCAGAGAAAGCAAAAAACACAATAAACCTTCTGAAAGAATTGAATTTATTCAATTTGCTCTGGTCAGAAAAGTGTTTTATATTGTGTGTCACAACATGAGATGGTAAGACCGGGACAGCTACAGTATATATTTGTGCCCTTTCTAATAATTTCACACTTGTCTCCTCATCAGGCCAAGGCTGAGATAATGAGGAGTGAAGTGTTTTTCAGCAGACAGGTTCTCCCTAAAGGAGCTGCAGTACAGATTTTCCATCTGTTGCCCTAGAGTCCAATAACCCATATTTAGATTAGTCTGTAACCTCACGTCAGGAGTTTATCATCTTGGCACCAGCCATCAGCCTAAAAACTAAGACATAACTCGAAATACCTTGGCCTACATGTGGCAGATTCGAATTAAACTGATAAGGATGATTTAAAATGCTGTACAAATGAACTTTTTCTATTCAATAAGTGTGTCACACATTTTCAGGTAGTGAAGATTTTGAAGTTCTGCTTCAGTAAGACAGGTTTAATCAGTCCAGGCATAATGTGTTCACACAACGGGTTCCACGAGTCGAGAAGCAGTGTTTTTATATTGCCAGCAGGTAGAGTATCTAATGGAAACCCAGTGAGCTGGAGTTCAGGATGAAAGATGTCCAAAGATAGCAAGCCACAATCCAGCAGTGTGGATGCTTTGGAAGATGTTTTATGTCAGTTACCAAAGTTTGTTTTGGAAAATACATTGCATTTTATAAACATGGAAAAAAAGATTCAGGGCATTCATAATTCAATAAGGGCTTTGCATTTCATATTGTCATTTAATAGAGGAAATGTGTATTTACTCCAGATTTGTGTTCCAGGCTATTGTAATAGTACTCTACAGTGCAGAGTATTGTACAGTGTAGAGTAGTCTACAGTGTGTTCTTTGTTGTACTTTAAAATTGTATCTGGGAGGTGAAAGCTTACTGCTTCCCCTTGGTTCAGACATTAAACATCACAGTCCCCTTGTTTATAGCTAAATGCTTTGCTCTGTCTGTAAGGTTTGGCCTACTACACTATAGCCCTGCAAGCCCCGGTTCATCTTTTCAGCTCACAGCACTCTACTGTACAGTGCAGCGCAGCAGAGTGAGAGTACAGCAGCCTCCTAGCTGGTGCTGCAGGAATGCTAGCAGCTTCTTCACATTTACACCCAGCTGTGTTTCTGGCTTTTAAGAGGTAGCGACTCGTCTTGTAGGCCTGATAATCTTGGTACAGCTGAGCAGATCTGACAGCAGACCTAAAAAAATGCAGGTGTGGCGCGTATTAGTAAGGCTTTAGTACTAGAGGATGATGTCTGGGACTGAAAAATGTCACATGTACAGACAGAGTGCTGTTTGAAGATGAGAAGAATCAGTCAGCTTGTGGCCTTCGATGTAAATGAAAGTGCTGTGAAAAGAAACCTGATTTTTAGGCTTAATATATTTAAACTGAGCAAGCATGTCACTCTCTTTCACAGGCACACAACACCCGAGAAGTTCTACATAGAAGCTTGTGATGACGGCGCCAACGATGTCCTCGCTATCGACCGGGTCTCCACAGAAATGACCCTCACAGGTAAAGAGCTGGAGACCCCACAGCCTGAGGGGGACATGTCTCTCATTCTGCCTCTGAAAGGACAGGAAGAGATTTGCCTTGTTTTCATTAATATGTTTGGGCAGTTTTTCATTTTATCAATATTTTACCCTGTCAGGACATAGGACATACCACAATGATATTTAAATATTCAAATTATATACTCAAAGCTGAAGTACTTTTTGTTATATCGAAGGAATTTGTTCTGCTAAGTTTAAAAAAAGTTTTTTTTTTAAATACATCATATGCTGGACCTCTTTTTTTGTGCTAGAGAACTGTTTTTCAGGTAGCGTTTTATGCAAAAACTGAGTTATTTGCTAGCAGATGAGAAAATGTCATCTCTGCATGCCAAACTATAAATGGAGCTGCAGAGCATGACGTAGTGTATCACGAACATCCTGAGAAGACAGAAGTGGAGAAGGCAGTTCTGAGATCAATGCGTTTAGTGTCTCGGCCAATTTGCATAAAATTGGTTACTTTCCAGAACTGTTCCTTAAAGAGCTAAATCTGCAATCCCTGTGATATAAACTCTGTTTGTTTTATGCTGCTCTTGGTGTGTGAGAGCACATGTTGATGTGGTTTCTGGATTAAAAGGCCTTGTGTTCAGCATGCTGAAAGCTTATCTTCTCCGGGAGTGTGACTGGTGTCTTGTTTCCTCAGTGAAGAAAGACGTTCCTCCTTCAGCGGTTACCAGACCAATATTTGGCGTCATGGGAACAGTACGCCTGGTTGCAGGTGGGTTGGTGATACTGGATTGTCAAGGCATGTTCTTGTATTCAGTGCAAGAAAAAAGATATAGGAATTAGAAAGTGAGGTTAGATCTGTACGTACACTCCTGCATAATTAGAAACTCAGTTTCACTGTGGGGTTTCTGTTTACACTGTGACGAGAGTGATGAAGTCATTGTAAGTCACCCTGGATGTTTGTAAGTAAATTATTACTAATATGGTAAGTGAAAGAGGGATCAGGTGGCCAGCAATCCAGAAGATGCTTCTGTGGATGCAGCATGTTCACTGTGGTTTGGTAGTTTATTGCTTTTGAGTTTTTTTGTGCACTGTGCTCTGGTCACAGATGTGTGCTCTTTGTAGGTTAGACACTATAGAAGAACCAGTGTACAATAATCCATATATATATAATAGACTAGATGGGCTTTATTGACATATCTTAATAAAAAATTCTGCTACACTAATTCTTAGGAGGTACTACCCAAGTGAAAAATAGATGCTGTATATTCTAATACATCTGATGCATTTGCTTAGTGCAGGTCTTCACAAGGATCACAAAAAATAAAACAATTGTTTCAGTGGAAATACTCAGGAATTGGGAAAAACCACAGGACAGCAGGAAAAAGCAAATGACCAATAATAAAGGATGTAAAGACAGAAATATGGTCAACAAAAGCCAGGATGTTCACTTGGGAACATATTATCTCCTGTGAGATTTAAAACAAACAAAAACCCCATAGTACTTTGGTATTTGTACGTGTTAAATCTCGGATGGTGTGATTCACTGGGAGATAAGCAGACGTTAAGCACCGTTTCAGCTATTTGTGCTTTAGCTGGAACACGTTTGTTCAGAGTCGTAATAAGGATTTTCGCTGCAAGTGGGTCACAAATGTAATCCAATGCAGAATCCTGGCGTTCAAAAGAGAAAAATCATACGCTGAGTATTCAAGCCAGAGCTATTTTTTGGTCAGTAGTCATAATGCACTTTCACACATGAGGTGCTGGCCTGAAATGTTAAGCCTGCAACTGCTTCTTCTGTAGAAGTAGGAAATAACAGGCTAATATTCTACTTCATCTGGTGAAAGAGAATTGTTTTGTTCTCCTAGAGCTAAATAATGATAATGTTCAGTGAACTTTATTTTTCCCCCCCGCAGGCATGTATCTTATTGTTATCACCAGGAAGAGAAAAGTTGGAGACTTATTTGGTCATGCTATCTGGAAGGCAGCAGAATTTGATGTGATATCTTACAAAAAGACGGTGTTGCATTTGACAGACAATCAGGTAATGTTACAGGTTTTTATCCGCATGTGGTTTGTGTTTATCACACTGAAGACTTTAAAGCTTTTTTCTTACCATGTGTTTTTATGAGGGAGTGAAGGATACACTGTACATATTCCTCATACATACATATTTTGGGGGTTTAAAGCCCATTTTTGTTATAAGTGTAGAAAAGTTTTAAGGTCTTTCAAGAGGTATGAAAGCTTTGGGACATTTGTCTGCATTCGTTACCCTTTGTGTGAATAAGTATTCCTTTGTAACAGCATCCAGAAGAGGGGAGACATGGGAGACTGAAATAGAAAACGCTTGATACAACCTCAAATAAAACTGCTGACAGCCACAGGTTTTTTGTTTTTAGTTGCCGTAGAGAGGTGAAGATGCAGGAGGCTGACCCAGTGTGTAGTCTTTGGTTGCTCGGTGTAGACTCCAGACCGAGCAGGAAGAAGCGCTAGGCGAGCGAGTGACCTGAGCAGGCTGTTGAGGTCTTCCCTGTCACGAGACTGGACTTGATGTGTTGGAAGCGTGGTGGAGAGGAGGGGGCAGAACAGCATGATTGCTGAAAAGGCTTTACAGACTTTACAGGACGAGCCAGGTCCCCGCATCAAGAAGCGATGTAATCAGTCTTATTGGTAGCTGGTTTTCGGTTTGTCTGTGGTGCATGTCTTTCATATAACCGGCTACCTGTCTTCTCGGCGTGCATGTGGTTGTCCGACCTATGATGTGTTGGATCTCCTCGATTAACCACAATATAGGAAATCAGTATTTGCTCAAATAAACCCGTCTCTAATAATGTTTAAATAAGCTAGTGAGAGTCTGGCCTTCAATACTGACCGGAACAAGGACAGGTTTGAGGAAGAGGAGGAGGGAGGTGATGTTCTTTATTTCTCTTTCTTGCTTCTGCTTATGCTGTGGTTCATCACTGTTGAAGGTGTATTCTTCAATAGTAATATGAGGGACTTAGTCATTCGCAGTGAAGGTAATTATCCTGAGTAGATCGTCAGAAACGCCCTTTGATCATTTGAGTTAATTTTCCCCTTCATCCCCTCAAGACAGTCCTCTCTGTTCTTAGCTTTCTGAACTCAGATCTTGCTTGGTAAGGAAATGCATCTAAACTTTGCTGTCCCCAGGGTTAAGACAATATTGATTGACCTCATGCGCATTTAGTTCACATTGCATTTAAAAGGGGGAATTTTAACTTTTTCAACTGGATAAAGTAATTGTTAGAGTAGTTTTTTTTAGATTTAAAAGCATTTCTCTTTTTCATAATAAAAACTTCAAACCCACTTCTAACAAGTTGGTTAAACCCTGCAAACCTACCCTCCAAAACTGAAATGTTATACTTTTTCATGAGCATGAGTATTGTTCTTCTTACCAGATGCAAGACAACAAGACCTTCTTATCGATGATCAACAATGTCCTGAGCACAGATGGGTTCTACTTTGCCACCAACTATGACCTGACCCACTCCCTACAGCGCCTGTCCAACACCAGTCCCGAGTTCCAGGAAATGAGCCTGCTGGAAAGGGTAACGGAGTTTTCCTGGGTCTCCGCAGGCTTAACTTTTTGTAGGACTGATGTAAATACTGATTAAAACAATAAAACAGTCTTCTGAATGCGAGTTAAATTTGAACACTTAAAGTCTTTCTTCAAAAATATAGCCTTTTAAGTAGTAATATACACTTATTTTCATTTAGAAAAACATTTAAATGTCTTGTAAAGTATAGAATGTCGATAGTGAGAGAGCTAAAAGTATTGCAGTATGAGGTTAATGAAGTTACAGGCTTAGAAGGGAATTTGATGGTCAGTAGCCATAGATCACTACATACTTAAACTTTTCCATCTCTGTTCATGAATCAATGACTCAATCATGCATTAACCGGTGTAAATTAAAAATAAGATTTTGGTAACGGATATTATTTCTTCTTCGTCTTTATAAAAACACTTAGCCATATGTGATTCCTGTCCTTTTTCTGAAAATAATTGCAACATCTGGAAAAAAAATAATGTTGATGGGTTTTTATCTTTTCATCAAAAAAACATGTTGGCACTGTCAATGTAAGAGAAAAGTTCTGAAATGAAAATATCTTTAATATATACTGCACATTTAGTCTTTTGAAAAAGTTTAAATGTCATGTTTATAAAGCTTTGTGTTTAACAATAACGACAGAAGAGAAATAAGCCTGGGCACTGCAGACCAGCGCTCTCGTTCATAATAAATGAGGCATTCTGGTTCAGATTACAGTGTGAAGTTCTTGGCAATGAATTAGTTACATAGGAACTGTCTTTTCCATGTCATGCAAAACCAGAAGGGCTTGTAGCAATTTAAGAAACAAATATCCCAATGATATCTAGGTTCAGGATGACGCCTATAATGGAAGACCAGTTATACTGTAGCACGTTTTATTGACAATTCAAATATTTTCATGTTTTGGTTATGAGTCCTAAACATTCACAAATTTGTGTTTAGTTATACATTTTCTTCAGTCCACCGCTTAATTGGAACAACCTAACAACACCAGCTCCTGAGCAAGCTTTGTATGGAGTCACCAAAAATAAACAAATAGCCAAATAGTGATTCAACAGGCTAATACTGTAAAGTAAAACATTTTGTTTTTCCCTATTGTACAGTACCTACTAATTGTGCCTAGACTGTATGTACAGTCTCCAGTTATCTTTTTTTCTAGGGATGTTTAGCACATGTCCTCATTTGCTTTTTCTGGTGCCTGTTGCAGTGACTTTGTGCATCTGTTTGTTAAAAATTTACTTACGAACCCAGGAGTAAACATGTGCCCTTATAATTCTCTCCTCCTTTCCCAAATAACGGTGAAGGGCAGGGAGCTGGACAGACAGTATGTTTGTGTCTTGACATATGGTGCTGTTTCTGGTGTTTGCAGGCAGACCAGAGGTTTGTCTGGAACGGGTATCTCCTGAGAGAATTCACAGCACAACCTGAGGTAAGTGTAGGGGTTGGGCGGGGTTTTAATCATTCAAAAAAAGGTGTGCTTTCTTGGGTCTTCATCTTTAAACGTTACATTTATTTTGCACCTATCAAGGTCAAATGCACAAGAGCCAGGAATTCGTTTTTTACAGTTGCAAAAACCAGATGTCACAAATACTGGGCTCTATTATTTCGTTGCCAGCAGAGCAAATATTTGGTGTGAAATCGAATGAGTGCAGTGGAGAGGGGAGCAAAGAAACTGCACAGGTCCTCAGTGGTGCTGTGCTGACTTGTGAAACGTGTTCCGCCTGACCCCTTCCACAGTATTTCCCCTTCTGGCATTATTTCCACATTTCTTCTTAAAAATTGGGAAATAACCCAAGAACGACTTTGAGCGCTTGAAAGTTCAGTTGTTATTGGGCCATTCAGGTACCAGTAAGTGGATTTCACAGAGAAAATGCAGTATATGAAAGCACCTATCCTGCATGAATTCTGAACGCATTTCTGCGTATAGAGGATGTGAGTATAGTCGGTTTCAATCATAATAAAATATACTAAAAACAACAGGCATTTTGGCAGATGTGCGATTAACACGGAGCCATTTCTTTTAACCTCTGGATTTGTGTCAGACGTGTCAGTAAAGTCAGGATTTCAGTATTTCTCCTGAATGGGACTGGGACTAGATCAGTCTTTTTCCTTCCCCTCAGTTGATTAATTCACACTTAGCCCAATTAGGGCTCTCGCAGCAATTCAGTTGACGGGAGGTTCATTAGTGTGCTTTTCTTTCATCTGTCCCACAGCTTCACAAGTTCGCCTTTCCAGTACTACATGGATGTATCCTTTCCTGGCACACGTTAGTCTTGCTCATCATCATATGATTTAATGTATGGGAAAAGCTGTGTATCAGAGAATTGGTTAGCAATGTGTTGAACACGTTTGGACATGCAGACTTCTATCCTGTTAGACATTACTTTAATACGAATGTGTCTGACATCTAGATCAAACAGCCTTCTATGCAAAAGCAGTTTTTGTGAGCAATGGCCTTGGAGCTTGAAAGAAGCTTTTAAAAAAAAACAAAACGCTGTATTCATGCCTTTCAAATAGAGCTTTCTAATTGTCTAAGTCTGCCAAGTGTTGCCGTACAGTGATTATTAATACATGTGTAAAGCTTCTTTTAATGGATTAGCTTTTTCACATGCTTTCCCTTGAGTTTGAGTAAGATTGCAAAGTCTGTATTAACTTCGGATCTCGGAGAACTAGATCCAGTTATTGTTACTATACTATGTTTTTGTCTAATTCCGAATTGTACTTCCTTTAATTATTTTATTGTTGGTGCTGTTTAATTAAGTCAGGAATCTGTGTTTTTGCCTGCTACAACACTCATTAATGTTAAAAGATAGCTGGGGAGTATACATTGTGGAAACTGAGGGGTTTAGTGTTTATAAGGGGCCACTAGTGAGAATTGCATTGTAGCACATTTGTGTTTTTATGCCCATAAGTAGTATCCGTAATGGTGTTTTAAAAGAATCGGATTGGTCTTACCTGTATTTCAAGTGTTATTGCTTAGTCAGGTAGGGAGAAGGCCTGAATAATTTTATATGGCATTAAGCTACTTTCTCAGCAAACAATCTGGTTGTAGAAGAAGAAGAATCTGGAGCTGCATTTTGCCTTTTTAGACACTATCTGGTAGCAGAGGCTAAGGCAAATTTTGGACTGTAAAAATAAAAACATTTGAACGAGGTGCTTTGTCAGTATCCAGGTTTCAAATTAACAAGCAGAGGTTAATTCCACACTGAGAGGCAGAAAAAAAGAAATAAAAACGCCATTTCAGCAGTAGAGTCTTCTTCAGGCATGTTGCAGAATGAGAGAGACTGCAGGAATAGGAGACTGAGAGACGTGTAAAGAGAACTTAAGAGAGTGTGAATTTGTTTGTGTCCGAAGAAATGGAAATCACAAACTCCAAGGAAAGCGTGAAAGGCCAAAGTCATGAAAATACAAAAGTGCTAATCGCCTACACTGTGTCACTGACAGACGCCAACGCGTCGCAAAGACATTAGTATATGTGGAAGGTCACACTAGTAATAAGGTCTACGTGAAGGCAGTCGCACCTTAAAGCTGTCCTTTATAATGTTCTCTGCAGCGTCCTTGCCCAGCACTGATTAGGAAAATCGAATTTTTGGGTTTTGAGACAAAGTAGACTGCTAGATTGGCTTTTCAGTGGTCTGAAAAATTGCGTACAAGCGAATTCTCCCATTTGCCGAGAACTGAAATCATTGCACTAACTCCTGGAAGACTGGTCGCACGCTATGACCCTGAACCCCAGCCCCCAGTCATCGCTATGAAGTCCGGCTGCATCAACGGCAAGATCTTCGACTGGGTCATCATCTCCAGGAGGAGCTGTTTCCGCGCGGGCGTGCGGTACTACGTGAGAGGTGAGAGCTCCCTCTGCCCGCCTGGTCCGTCACACTGTCCTCGTCTGACTTCCTTTCTCTTGCGCGGCCTGTCCCTTGTCCTCCCCGCAAGGGGTCTGCAGTCCCACGAGGGGTTTACTCACCTCAAAACCATCCAAGTGATCTTAGATTTAAGAGTACAAGCTACCTTTCTATGATAGTTACAATATTTCTTGCATGGCTTTGCAGACTTGAACTGAAACTGACATGCGCCCCGTTTTCTAACAGGACACCCCTGTTTACTTGCGAAAAACAAATCCGCAAGAATACCCTTGATTCCTTGCTTACAATATGGTGACACCTTTAGGTCCGGCATCTTGATCAGGCTTAAATAATTCCCGTAATGTATTTGTGACACAGAGTGGTCTTGTCTTTCTAGGTATTGACTCTGAAGGGCATGCTGCTAACTTTGTGGAAACGGAACAGATTGTACAGTACAGTGGGGGTAAAGCTTCGTTTGTGCAGGTGAGCTGAAAGACGAGGGTTAAGTTCAACATACCAGCCATAGACGGAGAATAACCTTCATCTGCAGTGATTTGCTATCATTGCCACAGGTGCTGTGTGATGTGCTTCTGTATGAATTGCCATAAACATGGATTACATGTCGATGTCCATATGTGCCAAATATCTTATAAGGGATTTGCGGATGTCCAGCGTTATTCGTGGCTGTTTATCTCTTATGTTTCTGCTTATTGAATCACTGAAGTTCTACTGAGAATTTTAAAGCATCATATATAAGTTTATGATGTCTTGCTGTACAATGATTTCGATTCTGGCGCAGTGGCCGTCACACTGGCCCCTCCCCATGTGGGCGTGTCATGTGCAGTGACCCTCCCCCATGTGGGTGTATCCAAAGCAGGGCCCCTCCCCCGTGGGTGTGCCTTCATTCAGAAATAAAGGCAAGCAAGTTGAGGAGGGGCTGTTTGCTGAAGTTACTGAAAACAGTATCCTTGAAGTAAGGTATTTTTGACGCTCAGGACAAACAAACTTTGCATTTGTGAGCAAACAACTCAATTAAGTCAAAAATTAGCACTGGGGATTTAGAGATGTTTGGGGAAAACAATGAGAGCCTTAATTTTTTTTAAGGTAATGTTACATTACAGTTTTTGCAACCCCTTACTTTTCAGACTCGCGGATCCATGCCGTTCTTCTGGTCTCAAAGACCAAACCTCAGATATAAACCAAAGCCACAGATAAGCAAAACAGTGAATCACGTAAGTTATTCCCATCATTACTTACGGCTTTAAATTCACTGTCTAGCATATCAGTCTGTTCCTGAAAACACCACAGACGTATCTGTGGAATCTGTATTTAGGACCAGGGGCAATTTTACCAGAAAACGTCTTATTATTGTTTTTAAACCACCATTTAAAGTTGAAACCGCTGCTTTTCTGAATGTAGAAAGGATGAGAGAGTCCAGTCAGTTTTACACGTACCTGAACTCTTACATACGCAAATATACTCATCTGAAGACTCTGACAACCTTTATACTCATTCTGTGACATATCACGGTTAAAGCAGGAGTGAATATATTAAGGCATTTTGTAACAATAAATGAAATTTAATATACACCTGTTCTGGAAAATATACAGTATGTAGTGTTTTCTTAATAATACTTTGTGCATTTAATGTTGCATGAAATTTTCTTTGTAGTCTGATGGTTTCCAGAGGCATTTTGACTCGCAGATTATCATCTACGGAAAGCAAGTGATTTTAAACCTGGTACGTCTTTCCCCCCCGTCACGTTTCCATTTCCGAAGGGAGGAGTTTGTAGCATGCACATTGAAGAGAAAATCGAACCCGTTTTCGTTCCAGGTCAACCAGAAGGGCTCTGAGAAACCCTTAGAGCAGGCTTTTGCCAAGATGGTGTCGAGCCTGGGCAATGGCATGGTGAAGTAAGTGTGGCTCAGTTACAATCGCAAATGGATCATTCCGTTGCTCGAAAACTAATGATTATTAGAAATCCATTGATGAGAAGCTGCCATTCTCCTGTTGAATACTCGGAATCTCAGGTGCGTGGCCGTCTCAGGCGGTGTTCCCTGGCCTGTGCCCGCACAAATCTCAAGTTGTGCGCATTTTTTCCCCGAGTGACAAAAACGTGCGCGCACTAAATTGAGTGTATGTAAAAGTGTAAACCTGAAATTATTTTTTGTTAATATAGTCGTTCTCATAGAAGCATAGAGATCCAAAAGACCGGGACAGCGACTCAGCGTGCCCAGTCATAGAGACTGAGTGTGGAGCGAGCAGGAGCAGTGAGGTTCGAGACTGCGAGGGCGGAGATATCGATTATCGAGTAGAAATAACACTGCACACAGCCAAATCGAGCCTCTCGCATCTAGTCCCATTTGGTCAGTTTAGCATTTTTCAGTTGACAACCATGTTTGTTTTATTATGATCATATTTTGGGGGGAATTCATATATTTTTAATTAATTAATTACATTTCCTATGTGCGCTGATTTCATAACCTGTGCGTGCGCACACATGCGCACAGCTTAGAGGGGACACTGGTCTCAGGCCTAGGTCAGGAGTGTTCTGGGTTTGAGACGGTCAGCGCTGTGACCTGTGATTTCAGCATGAACACAAGCTGTGTGTCTCCCTCCCCGGCTCAGATACATCGCGTTTGACTTCCATAAGGAGTGCAGTCGCATGAGGTGGGACCGGCTGCAGACCCTAGTGGACAAGGTGGCGGAGATGCAGGATGAGTTTGGGTATGCTGTTCTGTTTGTTTGGTTTTTAAGTCTGAAGTCTCGTTTATATTTGATGTGGTACCTAAAGTAGCAGGCTTTCCTTTGCTAATGTCCCTTGTAACGGGATGTAAAAAGTTTTGCGTGTAAGCTCCACATAGCGTATAGAACTTCGATCTACCACATTCTGTTAAGGAAGCTGTCTTTTATTTTTTTTTTACTCCAGAAAAGCAGTAATAACAAAAGAGCAGCTTTTACTTCTGCATTTGGTGTTGCGTTCTTTACACAGGGCAGCTCATCCTTGAGTGCACTGGAATAGATGCACAAATGGGTGACGGACGGTGTTTTATTGACATCGCGACCATTCGAATGCCATTTTGAGCCATTTGTAGATCTTTGTCGTTGGTGTCATGCCGTGATCTGATTGATGAGGGGCGTACAAGTCCCTGATGGGCCAAAAGCTCAGGATCAGGAGTGCAAGTGATCAGTAAGAGCTGACTAGTGGTGCTCGACGAGCTCTGTGACTTCAGGCATTGCGAGGCCTTCGGGCTTGAGGCTGCAGGGTGGCACCCTGAGCGGCCGTGCCCGGCTGTGGGCTCTCCCCGCAGGTACTTCCTGGTGGACGCGGAGGGGAAGGTGCTGCAGCAGCAGGAGGGCACGTTCCGCAGCAACTGCATGGACTGCCTGGACCGCACCAACGTCATCCAGAGCCTGCTGGCGCGGCGCTCCCTTCAGTCCCAGCTCCAGGCAAGCAGCGGGCAGGGGGGGCAGGGGGGCAGCGATGAGGTGCTGACAGAAGCTCTCCATGTTCGTCCGGAGCGGAGTTACAGCCCTGCTGTAGCTGCGCTGGTTGCCTCAGGTGCTAGCTGGCAAACTAGCGGCTGGAGCTTTTCAGTTCTCTGAGCGGCTCCTGACATGTCTCGCCTGCTCCCATCATGCCTTGTTGGCTCACGCAAACTGCAGCCTGTGAAATAAAAGCGTTTCGTTTCTATTAGGGTCGTGTACATTCAGTTGCATCCGAAAAGTACAGTTTAACGTGAACTGTAAAGCCTGGCTGTTTTTTTAAATTCTAAAAGAAATGAATTGGCTACTTTAGCCACCTGAGCCTGTGGTTAGATTTAGGATAGTTTTTTTTTCTTTTTTGTCTCAGTTCCAAGCATGTCTCAATGTTGTGAAGGGCAATCATGAATTTGCACTTCATTTGCATAACTTGCAAAGCTTTCTTTTACTGTCTTGCATAAGTGCTGTCCAACTGTGGATTTTCATCCACTCTGATCCTGTCCTGAGAGGGTGGCATGTCCGTCTTTCTGAAGGCATGACTGCTGTTGTAGGCTCGGAGTTTTGTTTTTGAACTCTGTGTTATTTAATCGTGTGACATAAACTATTTTACAGTCCTCTCCTTTCAGCCACAGTGGGAGGGCAGCTCATTTTTACACGCAGATGGCACTGTTTCAGTGATGCACGTTGAAAAATAATTGCTGTTTTACATGAATTTATGATGTAATAACAACATTGTAAGGTTGTCAGACTTTAAATCGCTTGGTCTCCGTTGTATTGTTGATCGCATCAACTTCTGTTGCCTTTTCCAGAGGCTGGGTGTCCTCCATGTTGGACAGAGGATTGAAGAACAAGCAGATTTTGAGAAGATCTACAAGAACGGTGAGCGATGTCAGGTCACGAGCTCTACCAAGACCCCTGTTTGTTTTTTTTACTGCATCATTTAAACGGTTGTCACCTGTTCTTTTGCCAGCGTGGGCAGACAACGCCAATGCTTGCGCCAAGCAGTACGCAGGAACAGGGGCCTTAAAGACGGATTTCACAAGGTAATACTCTAACACTCCGAACATCTTACATTCCCCCGGCTTCTCATTCGGAAAGATTCCGCTTGTTCACCAGCCTATTGACCTTCACACCTTATAACGGTTTATTTTTTTCTGGCAAAGTAGAAAAGCAGGAGTTTTTTTTTTTAGTTAATTTTTAGCATCTTAAAATCTGTAATTGAAATCAGCGTTGCAGTACCGGGTCATCTTGTCCACTTTAACGAGTCTTGATAGATCGGTCCCAATTGAGACTCCCTCGGGCTTATCTGTGTTTGGATTGGAATATTTTTCACTAGCCCCACAGCCCAAGCCTTTTTGTGCTGGCTGTGAAGGAACAGTGGATTTCAGTGGCAGAGAAGGTCAAGTGTTAGGCCAGCGTTCAGACCGAAAGGGCCCAGCAAACTCGACCAAACCGTTTTCACCCCAAGCAGAAACTGAAGCTCACGTTCACAGCCCACATGAGGACAGGCTTGTTTCCTGTGGTCTGAAAGCCTCCCGTCTGCCTGCCAATACCATGAATCACACCTCCCCTCTTGGCCAAATCCGGGAAAAAAAAAGGAGAGTGGTGTGGACGAGGCTGACGCATTCTTCACGTGTCTGTTCAGGACTGGCAAGCGGACCCAGTGGGGCCTGGTGCTGGACGGCTGGAACTCCATGATCAGATACTACAAGAACAACTTCTCGGACGGGTTCAGACAAGTAAGCTCCCATCTCCTTTAGCCCACTAGCATGTCAGTCCAGGCTTAACCGAGTGCATAATGGCGTACATCATGATACCTGCCATAACCCCTTCCCGCAAATTCCGTCTCCAGGACTCCATAGATCTCTTCCTTGGGAATTATGCAGTGGATGAAGCAGACGCTTTAACTCCTCTGCACGTACAGAAAGACTGGAAGTTCCTGACTGTGAGTTTATCCACAATACTGGAGGGAATGTCTGCTTAGATAGGTGGTTTAACAAGCTGTACGCTGCCTGAGGTGGAGTAGTTTTATGAAACAATGTCTTTTTTGCACGTTCTGTGCTGCCAAGCACGCCTAAAAACTGCTGGAGCCTGTAGCTTCTTGCTGTCATGTCCAGGAAATGTGTTTGTGCTTCACCTAGCAAACACTTTGTGTTATTATCCCCTGTCAAGTATAAATTTTTTTATACATTTCTTCTTCTTTTCAGTTGCCTATCATTATGGTAGTTGCGTTCTCCATGTGCATCATTTGTCTCCTAATGGCAGGTAAGCATTCAGTATCCGTTTACTAAATAGCCCCTTGTTTTAAAATGAATACCCATTGAGATCACTGCTCTAACAAATACAAAGATACTGCTCTTCTGAAGCTGTTAGAAATACATACCGTATGTTTTTTTAAGAGTGAAAGAAAAAAAAGAGGCCAGTAACATTTGGCCAGGCCTTTGTATTACAACGGGCTTACATTATTACATTATTGAAAGTACATTATTAGTCTGAGCTGTCTCAGCTAACCTTCAGAGCACTTCGGTGTGCGGATTCTGATCAGCAAGGGCAGCTGAGACATTGCAGTTCTGTCGTGCGTGATCTTCTCACCTGCTGCGCTCTTTCGCCTGTGTGCTTGCAGGTGACACCTGGACGGAGACCCTGGCTTATGTGCTGTTCTGGGGCACAGCCAGCTTCGGGACCGCAGCCATCATTCTCTTCAACGGCAAGGAGTTCGTCGATGCCCCGAAGCTCGTCCAGAAGGAGAAGATGGACTGAATGTGTGCGTGTGGAAAGCAGATCGGTTACCGCGATTCCTCCCTGCAGGCCTGGAGTTTGTACTGACCTGCTCTCCACACCATGGCAGGAGGCTATCCTCATAAGCGTTGGGTTTTTTTTCTTTCGTTTTATTTTTACCATCAAGAAACAGTTTCTGTCTTTGGGTGTTTTAGGGGGTGTGGGGATCTAAAAGAAGCGTCATACATCCGGAAAACAAAACCCCTCCTCAGTGTCTGACACCGTCCGAGATTTAAATAACCGCTCCGTTTTGCTGTTCACCCACGTGCAGCATCTTCTACAGGTGATGTTCAGATTCCAGCAGATTGTACCGCAGCACTTATTCTCCTCTTGCAATTCCCACACTTCTTACACAGAGCAGAATTTGCAGTCTTGGTTGGCTTTTGCGCCAAACAAGGTGTATAACAGGGCCATAGTCAATTCCAGGTTTTTTTTCCAGATTCACTCTTTCAGATTCAAATCAATTCCCAATTCCAATTTCTTTTTCACAATCCCTGAACAGGAACTGGGAATGGACCTTAACCCAGATCTACAAAGAAGTGTTAGCATCGAGAACACTATATTCCATCCTTTAATGGGATCTTTATATGGTCTCAGCATTCAGTATATGCATTGTCGCTGGTTTAACACCCTTTTTAATTAACATACTGACGGAAGACATTTGTAGTGTCCCGGTAGAAATTACATGAATACTTTGATAAAGTGCAGTTTTCCTTGTCTGTATGTAATTACTTTGTTTTAACTAAATTAATTACTTTGAAGAGGATATACCAAAAAGCCTTATTGACAAAAAATAATTGCATGATTGTCCAAAATAATAAAGGAAAGGAAACCAGAATGAAATCAAGGTGAAAGAAGGAATACATTTTCCCTTTTCACCATCTTATACCTTATAATCTTCCAGTAAAACAGTCCTTTTACATTTGAGCTCCTGTGTGGGGGAAAATCCCAAACTCCTGAGAGTTGTGAGGTTTCACAGGTGTCTCTGAACATTGCCTGAACATTTTTGTTCTTTGCACAGTCACTTTGTAGGAGATTATTTTTGTAAGTTCTTTAACAAGAAGTAAAGTTCCTAGGAGTAACACAAAATACAGAAGAATAACATTTGCTGCTAGAACCTTTGAGACAATAATCATCATACCTCAAAACTGGGTATGAATTTAAGTTGTAGAAAATTAACATTGCCAGATTTAAGATCATATAAAGTTCCCATCGGACCAAATCATTTTAACCATGTAAAGTGCCACATTAGTGTGGCTGGTCTGTCTGCTTTTGCAAATGTTCTGTTTGATTGCTGGACTTAACACCACTGGGTTGGGTTTTGACTGGTTGCATTGTCATTGTGTTTTGTCTTGTTGTATTGTGCTCTCAGCTCTGCAGTTAATCAGATTTCAGCTTGAATGTCTGCCTTACAAGCTGTTGAACAATGGGGAAAGTGTTGATAGACCTATGGTATATATTAATAATGTAAATTATAATGTTTCTTTCTGATAAGTGGGCTTCAGGATGGTCTTAACAAATCAGAGAATGTATAATTGGTTAACATGCCTTGTATGTGTTTTTCCACTTTTAATTTAGTGGTCCAAACCATAAAATATTAACAGTGTTAACACATTCATTATACTGTATGTACTTTTTTCCCCAGGTCAGCTTTTTCTTAATAGTACCTTAGCAATTTAAATAGGAAATCACAGACTTGAGATATCAAGTTGTTTTAACCTTTGGTGCAAATAACCTACAACTTACTTTTACTCTTTTTTGCATGGAAATTCTTCATTTTTAAAAAAAAGCATTTTAACATGATGCAGATACTTTCAATAGAAAAACAAAAGAGTTGTGGGGATTTGTGTTTTAGGTGGACAGAGGTACAGATCCACCCGTAGGTTAAAAGAATACCAGCCTGCTCCCCCTCAAGTTTGTTTTCAGTGCGATCTTTGTCTACATATACAAATGACTTTCAGATCTTTTTTTTTTTATTGTGTAAAATATTTCCTTGTAATTATGTATTGGACAGTTTCCTTGCACTTCATACACAGTACACATCTCTGTATACAAAGCTATATTTGAAAATGACTTGCTCCAGTGTGGTTGAGGTAGACTTAATTTAGAGAAAGAAAACAATATTAAAACTCATGTTGTATTGCAATGACTGCTACAAAACATGTCAATTCATCTGGATCAAATGCTTTACTGCCCTTAAAGGGAACATTGCTGTTTATACTGTAGAATATGACTCCTGAGTTGTTGTACAGCTCTTTGTGCAGATGTAGTGGATATTGGTAAAATCATTTCTGATCATTCTTTTATGTCCTTTTAGTGGATGATATGCTCACCATTCTGTATATTTACCTTGGTAATAATGTGAGAGATGGATTAGGGATATTATATTTCACTTTGTCTCATTAGATTTAGTTGATTTCTAAATATTGACACTTGGTTAGTGTTTTACAGGGAGGGCTGTCTTTAACTTTGCAATAAAGTCATTAATAGATCAACATCTGTTTCATTTCCTATTTCAGTCATTGCTGTTTTATTAGTGCTTTTCCTGTAATGAACTTGAGAAACCATTCCATTATTCAGATGTAAGACAAAAACATTTTCATATAAATGAAGAATAAGGATTTCATTTCAATAATGACAAACCTGGTATATTATTAGCGTTCATATTTTACAAACCCCTGTTCTTCCTCTTGCGGTTACATGTCATGGACAGAGTTATATAGTTATAAAATACAGTAGAAGTCAGGGATGAAAATGGGAGTAGTCTTTTAAAGGTAATTTTTGATTAAACTAAGTGCAAAGGTCACCTATCTTTAATGAAATAATGGTTTAATTGTAACTTCAACACTGCAAGTTAAAATTAAAATGTTTTGTACATCCAAACCTATTTGGGAAGATGTTCTAGTTTCAATCCACAAGTCTGAGCAGTCGGTACATGTACAGTGCACCGATATTGAGACTAGCTTTACAGACTAGAGCCTCTATCTATAGCTTTGCATTTGTAGTTCAGTGTTGTTCTGCACATGCCCAGTTTGGAGACGGTGCACAGTTGTATCGCTGACGGACTGTATGCTTTCTGCCTTGTTTTAAAGAAATGGAACTGCCACAGCTTTAATTCCATTGTCATAGAATGAATGCATGATCATTGCAGGAACTTTCGTCCAAAGTGAATAAATTCTCAAATTATGTCAGGTTAACATGGTTATGGCAAGAGATTTGCATGGATGTGCCCAGGTTACTTGATGTGCAGGAAATTCATCTGTTTGTTTGGAATTTACAGTTGTATCTTGTATCTAAATTTAAGTAGAAACTTTTAATGACGGCTATAACCCTGGCCATATCACCATGCATGTGACACGATTTAATCCAAATGCTACATCATTGACTATACATTGTATATTTATTGCATGCTTGCTGCTTTTTCTTTCTTGACAGATCAAGTACCATGCTTTTCACACATCTATATGCCTGTCTGCTTTGATCTAATATCTTTTGAGAGTGGATAAGATAATATAATGACCATTACCTAATTACTGAAGTATTTTATTACCATTTGCTTTGGCTGAGTACAAAAGAGTCAAGATAGCTCTAGCCATCATGATAGAATGGATCCTATTATGTCTGCTGTGCATAAATACTAAGAAGCCAGTTCTCTTCCTAATGTATTCAAGGTAAGGGGTAGAGAAAAAATATTTCCAGTGTGTTCAAAATTGTAATGATTTTTAAAAATGTTTTGTTGTGGCTGTCTGCAATACCAAAATATCGTTTTCTCACTTCTGTCATTCCATGTTTTAAGTGGTATGTTTTATTTGACAGAATTAATAAATTCTCATGAAAAACAGACATTTGTAGTCATTTACTTCTGATTTGTCTTCTGTGTGTGCCCAAAACCTGGCTTCTTTTTGTTTTGTAAGCGATTCAGCCGTGACAAGCTCGTTATAAGGAATCATCACATCTAAAACAAATAGAGCAAGTTTAATGTGGTCGTTTCAAAACTGCACAGGAAAAAAAGTCCCAATTTCTCATTATAGTCCTTAATAACTGCAGAGAATAATAACTGCATGGTTGTGCCATGTCGCCCCATCTTGATGGAACAGACGTTAAGCTGCAACAGAAAATAAATGTATTCTACATGGTAAAACTGATAAACATTTGACAACTGATATATGGCAATAAGGTATTTTTAAAGTTTCCAGTCACAGAGGAAGGGTTAGGCAAATATTTATGCTTTTATAGCTGCTGGCGTGGAAGCACATCACCTGAAAGTTATGGGCGCTGTTACCCCTTGGCACCGTGTTTCAACCAGCATAGACGAGTAATAAGACCTACGAGCGTAAAAACGGCTCTTCCACATTTCGAGAGGAAACGCATCTCGAAAACACTAGTGCACTGTGCTTTATTTTCGATAACACGTTTCCACCCACAGCAACGAAACGAATCTCCCAGCTTCGTCCTCGGCAGACACCCTGCAAGAGGGCGCCGTCTTCTTGTTCCTCCACTGAGTAATGAAACACACGGTGGCGCTGTGCTGAGCCTCCCATCCCCATCCCACGCCCGAGGCCCCTCTTTGCGTCTTTCAGCGCCTTCGGTGCGTTTCCGGGTCACCGCTGCCTTTCACTTCCGAGTCAGTTTCCGATTTAATGCCGGAACGGCCCAGCGTCGCTGTATCGTTTCGTGTATAATTTTTTGTCTTACTCCGGTGGGGGGATTTCTTCTCGCCATCAGCCGCCAGCATGAAACTCGTGCGGTAAGACGTTTCGAGGTGGTTCGATGTTGGGGCCAGCGTCGCTAAAGGGTGTAAAAGCGCAGGGATTGCCGAGGATGGAGTCAGATTGTGGGTTGTTTTCAGCTCCAGAAAGCGCCGTTCGCGTCGGGGAGACGCGGGAGGCGGGAAGGGGTGAAATGAATGGCCGATTCAAACGGCTTCCAGGGGGTGGGAGGGAGAAACGCCGTTTCGCGTCGGCTGCTGCAATCCGAAACCCGCGCCTGTTGTCGGTTGTGTTGAAGCGGCGGGTCAGTCGAGTCCCAGCGCGGCTCTTTAATTTCTCCGCACAAAGCACCGTAGACGTGCTGGAGAGGAGCGCCGGCCCGCCGGAGACATGTTTTCATCCGGTCGGTGCGACTCGGTTTTCCTGTTTAGCCTCCCGGTGCGGGACGGTGCTCGTCCCTCTTGCTACCTGACGGGTGTTTTATGCACTGACTTTCCCCTCTCCCTCCCACCTTTGCAGATTTTTGATGAAGTTGAGCCATGAAACCGTCACCATAGAGCTCAAGAACGGAACTCAGGTCCACGGCACCATCACTGGTAGGTGGATCGGCTCTTGTCGGTTTCTCTCAGTAACGCTGTGGGTTTGGAGAGCTGGACCATCCGGTCCTTTGTCTCGTTTCGAGACGGGAAAGGGATGTCTCTCACAGCACGCCAGGATGGAGGGTCCTTCCGAGCCCGGGAAAAGATCTGATCGATCTTCCGCCGGGCAGAGGCTCCATGCCCCGTGATCCTTAAAATCCACGAAGCTTATCCCTCGCCAGAACAGCTTCCCTTCTCACGAATGTGTTGAGCATGAGAATGTACTAACTGGCTTTGCTGGGTGATACTCGGGCATCTCTCTGTTTAAGGATAGTCGATCCCTGAGAAAAACTGTTTACTTGCCTGCTGCAATAACCTGCAGTCAGGGATCACCCGGTGCAGGGGATAAAAGTATTGGCCGTCTTTTGGGGGTGCTTCCTGTTCAGACCTCAATGCGTGTCCTGTGTGCTGGGGGTCAATTTAAAAGTCAATCCGACAGCGAATTCATACCAGATTTACTTTTACCTTCAGCCAGTCATAGGAGAGAAAGGTGGGCTAATTGGGCAGAAAACCAAGTGTTCTTTGTGCGACCATGAGTAGAATAGCTCACACCCTTTCCCGTGTTCGTGTGCTGCGCAGGGGTGGATGTGTGCATGAACACTCACCTGAAAGCTGTGAAAATGACGTTGAAGAACAGGGAGCCTGTCCAGCTGGAGACGCTGAGCATCCGTGGAAACAACATCCGCTACTTCATCCTGCCGGACAGCCTGCCTCTCGACACCCTGTTGGTCGACATCGAGCCGAAGGTCAAGTCCAAAAAGAGGGAAGCAGGTAGGAGTTCTGAGAAGATGCTTTTCCTCAGCAGTCAGATATATCTTCGGAGTAGAAGTGCGTTTCTTCACGCAGTTTTAAATAAGAACTTAAGCATATTCCCAAAAGAGAGGAGGTCAGGATCTCTTCTTGAGGTTTCTCGAGAGAAGCCGGGGTATCGGCTTGATCAACATGGTGGTCAGCTTGTTCCACACTCCCGCTACCCTTGGTGTATATGGGGCAATGAAGTGTCTCCTGTTCCTGGGTTTAAATTGTCCTATGTGTGGTTTCTTGTTGAAGTTGTTTGAAAGGACAGTTGGAGCAGCGGTTCATGTACAAAATCATATTTCAGTTAAGACTCATTGTTTGGTTGAATACATTTAATTTCCTAAGCTCAGATTTTGATGTATGGACACTCAGAGTGTAAACCAAGAAAATATTGTTGCATGTTCTAGGGACTGCCTTAGACGTTCTTGGTACCTCTTTGTTATGTAGATGAAAATGAAATCAGTTTGCTAAGACTAAACCATCATAGTAATTCATTGCCTGAAGTTAAGTTTCTGCTTGTTTTTTTGGGGGGGGTTCAGTGGGGTGCAAAAAAAACTGAGGCATTTCAAAGTATTTCTATGTTTTATATACTGACAAAACCTTAAAGTAAACTAAAGTCATCTTATAGCAGACGTTTCAGGTGCGGTAATATGGGTTTGTACTTGTCGTAGTTTATAACGAGAGTTTACTTCCTGAGCTATTCCCAGGAAGTTGCGTGAGAATAGTTTATATGTGGATGTAATGATTGAGAGTCTCTGTGCCCCTTTTCCTTAACCCTCACGGTATCTTTAAAGAGCGGATCGGTTTTCTTCCGTGGTATCTGGACGTCTGCACAAACAGTGGGCAGGTTCTCCTCGGCGTGTGTAACCCCCTTCGCTGTTTTACTGGTGTGCATCGCTCCTGCTCTTCCGCTCGCGGGCTGGGCTGTGGCCGTGAGGCGGCACGGCGGGTGACTGGTGTCTGTCCTCTCTCGCAGTGGCCGGCCGCGGTCGAGGCAGGGGACGGGGCAGAGGCCGAGGAAGAGGGCGAGGCAGAGGAGGACCGAGGAGATAACTTCGCTCACTGCTGCTGCTGCAAGTGCTCTCCCTCTCTCCAGCAGAGGCTGTCTGTACAGTTTTTTTTTATTTCGCAGGAAAATGTTGTGGATGATCTCCCATTTGTTTTTTTATATCTAATAAAAACCATATTCCTGATAACATGGCGCCCCGTTTAATTGTAAGTGTTAAAGGTTAATCTCTCCTTTGGGTGGGATAGATACTGCTCTGTACTGTATGTGTTGATGGTGAGGAGTGTTTGCAGTGTCTTACTAATCGAGACGGATCTTCTTGGCATTGAGCTGTGGGACTGGCTTGTATTGTTGGGGGCCTGTTGCTGAATCCAGGCTTGGCCCTTGTAAGTTGTCTGTGTGCAAACGCACAGGGAGGGTTTAAACATTATTGGTTTTAATGGTCATTCTCTAATGCATTTCTTCAGCCCATTTTCTAAGTCCTAAATACTTTTTTTTTTAATCTTGGATTTGTTAGAAAATTGAGTGGCAGGTGGATTTAAAACTGGATTTCAGGCACATTCCTTGTTTTTGCAAGATCCTTGTCCAGAGAATGTTTTACACTACAGAGTGCTCAATGTTGAATTGTTGGAATTGCAGGCTCTTCAACAGGTAGGTTGACACTGATTCAAACGCAAGGCGTGCCGTGGGCAGGAAAGAGTGACCTTGGCTGTCACCGAGTGTGACTAAGCAGTATCCTTTAGGTCTGTGGCTTCTATTTCATCCTTCCAAACAAGTTAGTCATCAGTCACCAGTTGCTAAAGTTTGGAAGAGGTTGTAGGGTATTAATAAAGTAATTTGGTCAATTACTAGAAGTCTGGTCCTTAAGGGACGAAATAAAATTTTAGTCCTATATTGTATCTAAGTCACTCAGTTTGACAAATCACCTTCAGAATTGATTTAAGTTCTGGGCCAGTGATAATGACCATGTTGCTTCTTACATTTCCCTGGGGGTGATAGTAGCATTGCTAAGCATGATGCTTACTATCTGGCCAGAGCAGATCTGCAACAGGCAGACATAACAGTTTTGAAGAAAGTTGGTTTCAAAATAATTTGTTAGCCAAAATAAGGAGGCGTGTGCTACCATTTCCTGAAAGGGAACAATACTTTATTCTTCATCACGCTATAGACAGGTGGTCCTTTTTTATGTCTTAAAAGATCTTTATGTAATCCTACGACTTCCACTTTGGAATTTTTTTTTTCAGGTGTCAAATGAGAAATGGTGACTTTAATATGAACGAGGAAAGTTGTGTGAATAGCTATAAGATAGGCAAGTACGATGTTTTTTAAAGGCACATACTTTATATGTAGAAATGAGAAATTCCTCTTCAGTGGCTCTTGTGTTTCACAGAGTCAGAGGCTGTCAGATTAAGGCCATAGACTGTGAAGAAACAGGTCTTTCATCTCCATTCACAGAGTATCCCACATTTCCTAGGTGGTAGCGGGGCTGACTGTAGTCTCTTTGGCCTTGCTGCTCTTTTTCTTGATAAGAGTGACCAGGGCCACCAGCGGGACACAGCTCATAGACGATACCAGGAGAATCCCAATGAAGACCTGGGCATATACAGGATACTCCTTGGTTACCGTTTCTCCCTGCGTTTAAAAGAAGAAATACAGATTTTAGAGGACGACTGAGTACCTGATTATCAACAATAATGTCATCACTCTGTTAAATATTTTGCGTAGTCAAAGACATGAAGCTTTATGGCTGCCTTTCATTTTAAACCAATTCATTGGCTTTGACTGTAAAGACTACGATTATCAATGAGCGGGTTTTTTTGGGGGGGATCATGGCAAAACTTGAAGAAATAATGGTAGAGAAAAGAATGAAAATGGGACTAGATAAAAAAATGTTGAGGGAAAAAATGTTATTCAAGCAAATATTTCGAGGCGCCATCTCTGAATTGGGCCCGTGTGCTTGTGTGTGTGTGAAGCCGAGGGTGTACTGTATCTCCTCGAGGCTCCCTGTGGTTGTGGGATGGGCTGCAGTTAGCTATGACCCTCCCCAGGAATAAGCAGCTTTCGGACAGGGAACGGAGGGGAGGGGCTTCAATGGCCCGATGTAGCAGTGAAACTCACCCGGTTTCCGTCCCACGCTTGGTACGTGGGAGTCCCACCCATGATGTAATTGGCAATGTAGAACACAAAAAGTGCAACGATGAGAACGGGACTCACAGCCGCCCATGAGATTTTCCAGTACCAGTGGGGGCGGTGTCCGATCATCACTTCGATGTCCTTCTCGAACCTGCAGAGCCAAGTGGGCAAAGCACAAAAATAGGGTAACCAAAATCAGCTCCGCTGCCATGTCATATGCACAAGTGCAAGGAAGAAGTGGTCTCTGCATCTGGACGTTTCGCGCCTTTATGCGCTTATAACGCTGATCAGAGGGAAGGGGGGAAGAGAAGGGAGAATGCTGTTCTGATGACAATCACACCTTCGCAGAATTAACAGCGGGTGAGTGGCCGCTGAGAAAAGGCTTTTGTGAAGGAAGAGAGAGAGGTTCCTTCTGTGCTGAGATGGAAGAAAGAAACAACATTTTCTTTTCCTTTCAGCCCAGAATAGACTTACCTGCTCCTTTGCAGCCTGCGCATGCTGACGCAGCTCCCTACTTGAAGAATTTTTGTGCCCCACCCAAACCAACACAATCCACACCTCCTTTTGTTGTTGTGTCCCTCCCCCCGCTACATGACGCTTTTTAAAAATAAAGTCACACAGCCAGCAGGAGAGGTGCGAACGGGGTACAAACCTTTTCAGGCCGTAAATATAGCAGACGCTTAAGATTTCAATGAGGACGATGAAGAGCAGAGAAAACGTGGCAGCGTATTCGTTGAAGATGGCGAACCAGTAGTTGCCTGACTGGACTGTGAACACCAGGCTTGTCACGCCACAGAACAGGCACACCAACCCTGTAACACAGACACTGCCTGAGCCTCCATCACCCTCCATAGTGCCCTACATGTGACTAATTAACACGGCCTTCACAACTAAACAAATTAAGCAGGACCTTATTCTTGGAAGGGGTAATACTTTTTTCTTTCTTGAATTTTGCTTCATCACGTACTAGACAAAAGAGACCTAGATATGGTACAATAATAAGCCAATTATGAAATACAATAAACAATTTTGTGTTGATGAACATACGTGTGAAATTAGTGACTGGTAAGGTCTTCGCTTGTAAAGGAGGATAATTTGTTAATAATACCAGTTTAAATTCTCACTGTTTTATTCCACATTGAATATATTTCCTGTTGCCCATATTTTTACGTATTGTTGTATACATCTGTTTTTTTAGCATCATATGCTAAGTAGAAGGAGATTTTCCATTTTGTTAAGTCAATTTGTCAAAGCCAGTTTTTTTTAAAGGAAAATATATTGGGTGCAATGTACTGTGAATCCAGCCAGCTGAACGGCAAGATCTAATTTCAGGACCAAAGAATGATGATTTTGAGAGCTTGAGATTTCTTTTTCTTCTGCCTCGCTTATCCTGGCTGTGAGCGTCATGTTCTACCCACAACGGCCAAAAATCAATGTCTGAGGGGAACACCAACTCAAGCAGACTGTCGTACCTTATAAACTGTTTTTTAAGCCTGCAGGTTTCTTTAATCTGATTGATCTTACTGGCCAGCGACTGGATTTTACTGGGTATCTTTTTTTCGACCTCCTGTTTGGTCTGAGGTTCCAGTTCCTCAGCGCAGCTCGCTGGCTCCTGATCGGGCTCGGGCGGCTCACCGTTCACAGTTTCCTTCTTGACGCGCTTGGACAGGAAGTCCCAGTCCCTCAGGGGGGTTATAACGGCAGCCACGTTTCCCAGCATGCTTCCAATCCCCAGCATCAGCAGCATGGAGAAGTACAGCACGGACCAGAACTGGGGCAGGCCCATGTTCTTGATGGCCTCACTGTACACTATGAACGCCAGACCGGTGCCTTCGACAGCCTGGGAGAGTCAAACACATGTCAGCATTATATAAGGCTTGGGTCTGTTCCTGAACAGGACACACTCAAACCAGCTGTGACAGTCGCCATGCTCATGCTTGGTAAGCACAACGTAACCCTTTTCAACCCCATTTTTCATTCAGGCTCTTCTACTATTACAGCCAAGGACAAGAATCTCTTCCTACCAGTAATGTTTATCTTGACTGACCAGTTCATTTTGAAAATTGTTTTGGTAAAGGAAATTTTCTGTAGCTAAAGATAATTTTATGGTTGTGCCACCTACTGTCACACACGACATAAATGCCCCTTATCTCAGAACATACAGATAAGGAGCTTGATGTTAACCGTCTGTGATACTCATCTCTGACCTAACGAAATGTGAAAATTACAATTTCCATTGCTTGTGTTAGTACAATGGTGACTTGCCTACGTGCACAAATCTAGAAAATAAATATATTATTCTCTCATTTTGAAACCCTCTGTAAACTCACCTAAGTTTTGATTGAATTAATTAATCCCCTTGCCCTCTTATGAACCAGCTTATGCCAGCTTGAAACATGAAGTTAAATTCGTGTTTCACTGAAGTGGAATTAAACTTACAAAGTTGACAGTCAAAAGCTTTTCATTGATGGCCTTCAAAGATCTGAACAATAACAGCTTGTCACAGCAGTGGAATCACAATATGGTAAGTGCCAAATGTTTATCATTATTTTCAAAGTTATCTGTACTTACCATATCGCCTTATCATCTATTATCTAACCAACCAAATTGAGAAGTTCTGTGAGAATATAAAAAATGCCAAATGTGAGAAAGGACAATTTCTAGAGCTAATGAAAATATTTCGCTATGAATAGATGATACGTACTGAAGGCATGATTTCTCAAGATCTTTTGCACCCAAGTGACTGCCACAAATAAGCCCCAAAACAAGTCTGATGAACAGAAACTCCTGATGTAAAATAGTCTGGAGTTTAAATAATACATTTCCTTATAAAAGAAAATGAAGCCAAATGATAGTGGTGCAAAATCCTTGTAAATCTGTCCTCCACAGGTGGTTCCACACATCACAATGATTGCTAGTAAATTAGCTGCCAGTGATCTTCAATCTCGGTTCTTGTTTCTAGAAAAGGTATTGGAAATGTATCGAAACACTAGTGTAAGATGTTTTTCCATCTGACTTCCACCAAACCAACTGGAAGCAGAGATGAAGACTTCTGCTAAGGTTTGCAGAATGTACATGTGCAAACCAGAAACCTCCCCATCACTCCTGCATTATTTCAGCATGTTTTCATTGTCTTAAATGGGCCTAATAGCAACGATTGTCAGGTGTAAACCACCTAATGTGACTCCAGAAATAAAGAAAAACTGGAGAACTGACGACCCACCCTCTTCAGTGGCATCTTTTGATATCCAGAATGTTAGTTAACAGGGGTTAAAAAAAGAAAAGAAAAAACAATAAATCATCCATCAAGCTGAGTGAAACCAACAGTCAATGTTGGTCGGTCTTGCAGACTTGTTAGTTATCTTAGCCTGTTTTTCCTTACCATCGCTAATGTTACGTAAAATAAGGAGCTGAGTAAGGAAACTTTGAACTACTGCTATGGCTAAACAAGGAACTGTTTTTAACTCACAATAAAGTTGTATTGTTTATTGCTGGACTGTGAATTGCCAGGTTATAACCAACAAAGAAATGCATTCACAAGAAACTGGCAGATGTCCAAGGACATTTCAATGACTTTGCTTAAGACATCAAAACCCAATCAGATTTTGCAAAATCTCAAAGGCCAGGTCACAGTACTTGCCTTCAATTTCCTACTTTTGAATTTAATACTTAAAAATGCTAAAACAGCTACACTACTGTAGCAATGATCGTATCAAACTACTGAACTCTTACAGAGCCAGGCTGGCCAGCAGCCATTTCACCCTGCAGCTCACAGCTCACAGCTGACAGCCCACTGAAGCTCAGCAGGTGTGAGCCTGGTCTGTACCTGGATGGGAGACCTGCTGGGAAAGCTGAGGTTGCTGCTGGAAGAGGTGTTAGTGGGGCCAGCAGGGGGCGCTCACCCTGCGGTCTGTGTGGGTCCTAATGCCCCAGTATAGGGATGGAGACACTATACTGTAAACAGGCGATGAGACGTAAAAGCGCCCTGACTCTCTGTGGTCATTAAAAATCCCAGGGCGTTTCTCGAAAAGAGTAGGGGTGTTACTCCGGCGTCCTGGCCAAATTCCCCTCTGACCTTTACGAATCATGACCTCCTAATAATCCCCATCTCTGAACTGGCTTCATCACTGCTCTCCTCCCCACTGAGAGCTGGTGTGTGGGGAGTGTACTGTCCTCTAGTGCCTCAGATTTGCTTATTTTATTCATTGTGTCGATTCAAAGAAAGTTTGTGCACCTAGCTTTAGACAAATGATTATAATACAAGCAGTTATGTTATGTAATTTTAACGGAAATTATAATTAGCCTCTTACTCGGGATTGAGTGTAAAGGTATTCACATCAAGGCTGGTCTGTATTCCAAAAAGCTTGTTTTGGGGTCTTTTCCATAAAATGTGAATAAACAAAGCAGATGGAGATCTAGTATGTGACTTTATATAAGCGAAGGAGAAATCAGAAGTCAAAAGCTCTGTCTCCCTATTGATGTTGCATTAGCTAATTAATATAATCAATAGTAATTTATCATTTAATTATGCCACTTAAATTATGGAGAGTGGACATTTTTTACATATTAATAGGTCTTTTTATGAAGACGCGTTTGCCAGAGTCTGAGAACACAGAAAAGGGGCTGCAACAGTTTTTCATGACCAAGCTCACCATGTCTAGTTCGGCCTCCAGGCTGCAGACCTCAAGTCTGGAGGATATTGAGGCGAACTTGTCCGGGTACGTTGTATTCAGCTCAATCTTCCAGTAGTCCAAGTTCTCTGGCTTGATGCTGTCCTCCTCCATATCAAAAGTATTTAACAGCAGCAATATCATCCTGTGAATATGAAAGGCAAGTAACAGAATGACTGCAGTTCCTTCAATTTCTGAGAACATTACTCAACTCAAGATAATTTTTTTTCTAACATTTGAAGGAACATAAGAATTCATTATCATTATTTGGCATTTTTCGTCCTCAACATTTGGCAGGGATCTGAGTATTACCCATCATGGGCTCCCACAGATACTCAGTTCTGTTCACTTTTTCAACCTTGTAAGTTAACGTCAGTGATAATTACACTGGGTGTTCCAAAAACAGTACCATTTTACTTCTAAAAAGCTACTTCAGACTTGTCAGAATCAGAGCACAAACATGGCTGATTGAAATGTACATGTTCAGTATGTCCAGGTAATAAGTGAGCTATGTTAAGGACCCAATAAAACTATAAAAGAATACAGCTACAAAGAATATTTAACTGCAGTACACATTACCCCCATTTTAAGATGTAGTTTCCATCACAGCTGGAATATTGAAAACAGCACTGTGAAATCACATAGTCAAAAATATCCTCTTCCTGTTTCATTCAAGTCTGGTCAACAAGACACGACACAAACAGCAACTGGCACTTCCAATGCAGAGAAACGGGTGTCGTTCTATGGCCTATTAGCTGTTATACGGTCAGTAAACACACACCGATGCTGTAACGGACTGCATGAGGGTAAAGAAAAGGAGTAATTTGAAAACCTGAAGATGACTTAACAGCACGAGAACAATGAAATAAGGTCTACCTGTCTAGGCATCTCTCATAGTTGCATGTTGCCTTGAAGCCATAGATGGCGAAGGTGACGAGGCTGGCGAAGATAGAGGTGCCGCTGTTGATGATCGACACGGCGATGGCCTGCCTCTCGAAGTTGTTGTTGGGCTGGTTGTAGCTGGCGAAGGCAATGAGGCTGCCAAAGCCCAGGCCCAGGGAGAAGAAGATCTGGGTGGCAGCGTTGATCCAGGTCATGGGGTTGGCCAGCTGTTCGAGCTGTCAAGAGCGCGCAGACGTTAACTGATGGAGACATGATCCCTGGCAAAGCTTCGACAAGCGATACTCAAGCTGCTCTATGCAGCACAGTGGGGTGTCCAGCTGCCACAGCCTGGAAGGTCTGTCTGGGCTTCTGCAGTGGGCTGGCAAGATCACTGATCATGAGATCATGACCAGCCCCTGTCCCGGAGAGCCCCCATCCACATAATCTTGTAGGTCACCCTAGATCTCCCGTTATTTAAAGATGAGGAACACCCATCTAAACAAGTGTGTCACATACTGTAGCATTAATCCCATCTACCGTTACATTCTTTAACATGGTCCAGCACTTATGAAAAAGTGGTACACACAGTAGGATCAGGCAGTAGAAAAGGTAAATATAACCTTTTTTTGTTCTGTGACAAAGAGGCAGGAGGGTTTTTTTTGCATAATATTGCAAATTGTGTTATGCGACATGCAAAAGCCAGACCAGATGTATTCAAACACACATTGTAACCCCAATTTGTTTAACATTTTACCTTAGGTGTGAACATGTACTTCACTCCATTGATAGCTCCATGTAGAGTTACTCCTCTTATCAAATAGATGATCAGGACCAAATAAGGGAATGTGGCTGTAAAATACACTACCTAAGGCAAAGAGAAATCACAGTGTTTTGTTTTTTTTTGTTTTTTGTTTTTAATGTTGTTGAAGAACAGGAGTTCATTTAGACTGTTTACTTCCACTCTTGTCTTTTAATCTAGCAGATGGACAAGGTAACCCCTTCATCCATTTAAGTTACATTTACATCAAGTATATTCATGAAACATAAATCATGTATCCTTTCATTCAAACAGCTTTATCTAATTCTGGAGCCTATCCCAGCAAGCAACGGGCCTAAGGCAGGGTACACCCTGGATGGGACGCCAGTTCATCGTAACACACAAACAGACACACACACACTCACACCAATGCCAGTTTTCCCAGAAACCAATTAACCCACCAGTACGTCTTCGGATTGTGGAAGGAAACCTGAGCACCTGGAGGAAACCCATGTGAACACATGGAGAACACAGAAACTCCACACAGACAGCACCTCAGGAATTCAACCCAGGGCTCCAGCACTGCAAATCAGTAAAAGCTACCCACTGTGCAACCATGCTGCTCCATTCAAAACCACAAACCCAAAAGAGGGAGATAATTACAAGCTATCAGAAATCACTGAATGCTACCAAAAGAGAAGAAAGTTCAGTATTTGCACAAAAAGCAAAAGACGCATTTATAATCATATCTTTGTCTCCCCCCGTGTCCTGCCTCTGAGATTTAAAAAGTTACCTTTCCTGTTGATTCTGTTCCTCTAACAATACACAGGTACACCACCAACCAGGCTAGGAGGAGACACAGCGCCTGTCCCATATGGACATTCCCAGTTTCATCCATCGAGGATGTGATGTTTAAGGTCTCTCTGTACCAGAAGTATTCTGTAGCAGAGCTCCTCTCACATTCCTCCACATAGCCAGTCAGGTTCCTGTTCACAGGGCACTCTGCCCAGGGCAGCACTGTCTGAGGGAGCGCAAGGAGACATTCCGATCAGGGTGAGACTCGGGCAAAATCAGTGGGCTTGAAAAACACTGTCGGCAAGTAAGCATTGAGGCTCTGCTTTCCAAAGGCGAGAAACTCCCTGTTTCATTTTGAAGAAAAAAAAAGAAATGCACTATGTTAAGGATGTTGGCTCTATATAAACTTTAACTTACTAAAAGAAAAAGGAAATTCTTCACATTTAAATTAAGATGGTAAATTTATGGTCTTACTGGGGGTAAATGTTGCATCAGCTGATAAAATTAAAAAATTAAAATTAAATTCTGTATAACAAAAGTCTTTATTTAGAGTAACTTACATAGCAGAACATTTCCATTAGATGTATGTACCTGTACAAGGAACAATTGTGCTGGTGCAGTAAGGCAAAAATAAATTATTAAAATACCTACAATGCATGTCTTTTATTAAGGCTGTTATTTGTTGTATACCTAAAAAGGGCTTAGATGCATATTGGATATTCTTAAATAAGTTGTTTTGTACTTGTGGGCCCAGGACATTTTTGGAAAAAATATCAACTAAATACTCCAACCTGAAATGAATGGAAGAGATACCAAAACGCCCAAGCATTTATAACGTTGTAGTACATGGAAAGATATATGGATGTCACCACACTTGCAATACCTAAAACAGAAAGAAACATTTATTATTCATGATGTGGACACAAACACATATATTGTCTAGAAAAGAAAGAAGACAGAACACAACAACAATGTCAGGTTTTTGATTGCTTTCTTCTTACTTTCCAGAGTGAAATTAGCTTCTGCTCGTTCCTTTGCAAGTCATCTGCAGATACAATTCCTGATATATTTTAGCTTGGTTTTTGAAGTGAACTTCAGGGATGTAGAACAGATCCTAACATTTTGATAGAATGCGTTTCTGGCTCAGCTTCAATGAACTGAACACAAAATACACTCAAAAAGGAAGTGATTTTAAATAGAGAATCAGGTTTTTTAATTCTTCATGGGTCAATCACATTGACCTATGATGACAGACAGTGTTCACGTTGTAGATGGGCAGAAGTGTATCAGCCATCCAATAAATCATTTTCTAAATGATGCCATTTCACAGACGCAGGGGGCAAAAGTGCACACTGTGCAGTCGGAGAATGTTTTACGAGGTATGTGGCTGATAAGTAATAGTTTTCTTCTATACAGGAATATTAGAGAAAAGTAGACTGTTTTGGCTTATGAGAAATCTAGTCAACTGGTAAATTTGTGCAAACCGGCTGGATAATTTGAAATATTATAATGAAGGAGCTCTCAACTAGAATTCTGTATGCAAATAAGATCTCTGGGAATCGTAAAAATGGATTTTAAAAAGCCTGTCTTGCTAAACTAACTTGCTAGAGTTCCTTCAACAAGCAATATTAAGTACTGGATGCACATAGAAAATCTAATGTATTTTGACATTTTCAGAAGAAGCCTAGCAGATGGTTTTCAATTTAAAACACAAACTATAAATGCGAAATGGGGAAATGCCGAGTTTGCATCTTCCTGGGAATGCGGATAAGCAAATAAAAAATGTTAGGATATACAATTCAAACCGGAGAAATGAAAACTGAGCAACGGAATGAAAAAACTGATGATGCAGGCAGCCGGAAGATCCGATTGGGAATATTTCCTGTGCTTTCACATTTGGTATCTAACAGGTCCCTGACGCGCTCACCCACTCCGCCGAGATACGGGTTAATGGCTCTCCACGCCCCGATGCTGCCAAGACGCATCTGCTGTCCGACCGCCAGCTCCATATAGAACAGAGGTATTCCTTCTACCACCAGCATTACCAGGTAGGGTATCAGGAATCCGCCTGCCAACGCAATTAGAAATGTGTGCACGTTTATTTCTACCCATTTCTTTATCATCTTCACCAAACCATCTCAACAGTAAACCATTGCTTTGTGATCCGAACAAAGTGCTTCTATGCATGGCTTTTGTGCTCTTTAGCGCTTGCAACATTTTGTTTAAAGGATCTAGAGAGGTTTCATGTCCTTTCAAAGCACTAATAAAATCTAATAATGTCCTTGACATAGCCTAAGCTGTACACACTAGCCCGTATCGTGCTTGAAAATTGTACTGTTATTTTCTGCAGTTTTTAATTCTCCTTACATTGGACTCTTCTTGTAATGAATGAAAATTGGTATGAAATCCAGTAGATTCCTTATTTCAATTCTAGCTATCTCAGGATTGTGTGCTTAAATCTTATGTACCCACCGGTACATCATGCAGACTGCAGTAGCTATTGTTAATGACTGTGACAGAAACATTCCCTGGAATATTTTGTTCCCATTGTTTTGTAGAAGACCTGTTAGGGGTTATGAATTGTGTTGATCTATTTGGTTTAATTATGAATTGATTGTGTCTGGGGCTCACGCCACAGGAGCTTGGCCTCCATCCTGTTTCGTTTCCTTGTTAAGCTTTTAATTGCAGACAGTAATTATTGTATTCTACACTGCAACGACAGGCTCACAGGAGTAGGTAATGTTTGGCTGACACTCCCGTTGGTGAGCACTCTTGTGTCCACTGTTTCCTATTGCGACACGCTGTTAAAAATGCCTAGTTCCTATAATTGCCACCAATTAAATCCTAGGTCAGGTTTTCCGGTAATAGCTTAAACCTGTTGTCTCCTTTTGCTTCAAAGAATTTTTGCTCACGTAAGCTCACAGAAATTGCTGACCACAACAAATAAGGATTAACTCTCATTGTTAATGATATTCCAAAATAATGTTACTGTAAAAGCTCAAATCCTCTGAGTTATTTTAAATAGAACAGTGCTAACGTTCTTGTGATGGAAAATATTTGCTTGGCCTTGACTTTTCATCACAAGGTTACTACTTATGAGTGGTGCCAGCAGAAGGTCTTACCGTATGCACTTTACGGGAAGTCAATAATCATTTGACCTGCATTTATATAAAGCTCGTGGATTTAATGTGAGTCTTGTAGTGATTGTGTCATATTCCCACAGCTAAACAATCTGTTTGCATGGCTAAGAACCTTTCACTCAAGCTTTTTAAGCTTTTTCAAATGGCAACTCTGGCTACATATTGTAAAATCGTCCCGTTTCTGAAACTTGTTAGCCGGGACCAGGGAGGGGTAAACTGATGCATGGACTTCTGTTCTGTTATCTGGATGTGAAAATGAGAAAGACGTGGGCAGAGATTTTGTGAGCTGTTCTGTTAGACACGCATAAAGAAACAATAATAGAGCAACATAGAAAATTAGGGAAAAGCATAGGCTAATATTTTTCTTCCCTACGGTGGGTAGTTCTTCAGCATTCTGACACTTTACTGTAGTAACCGCAGCACTCTCTGATGCAAATTGAAATGAGAAAAAGGACCTTTTGTCTCTTTTGAAGATTGCTTCTCAAGTAATTAATGGAATATATGTCACTTATATGACATTTTCACAATCTGAATATGTTTTGTGCAGTGTTATGATTAAAATAAGAATCCAGTGGTGTTGTAAACAAAAGCTGAAGTTCATATCCTAAGCCTGAAGGAAAATTGGTTAAAGACACCTCAGGTTTTGAAAGTAGCTCGCTCAACACAGTGGCTTTGCACCAGATACAACTGCACACTATAGTACAACCCTGACAGAAACAAACTAAAACAAGTGATTTCCCAAAGAATTAAGCATTACAAAAAACACTTGCTTTGTTGTGTACACATTTACAAATCACTTCCATATTAATAGAAGAAGGTTGAAGAAATACTGTAGCAGTAGAATCTGATTTCTTAAACTACTGCATAGCCATAAAATATTATTATAATATGACTATTACTAGTCTAATTGATTAAATACATTACCATGTGAAGGAAGTACATTTGTACCCTAACATGTTTTCTAAAAAAAACAACACATTTAGTTGCATGTTATATTTTACTTTTACCATTTATTTCATCATTAATCATTAATCTGTCAAAAGGTGCTCGAGCACTGCATTCCAGTTTTTAAAGCTTTCAGGTACTGTACATGTATCTGTTTGCTCTAAAACGCACTTCACGGTACAGACTATTCACATCAGAACGTATTCAGGAGAGAGAAAAATGAAGTGATTTAAGAAATATCTTAGACCAAAAAACGAACCCTACCTCCTCCGTGCATTTGGCACAAATATGGGAATCTCCACACATTACCCAGCCCCACTGCGTACGACACGCAGGCCAGGAAAAATTGCATTTGATTGTCCCATAATGGTCTGGAGTCCTTCTCCATTGCTGAGATTAAAGTATCAGGAACAGCAGAGACTTTGCTTCTCAGCTGCCTTCCAGGCTCTTTCTGTCACTGTGAGCACTTGTTGCAGGAGCTTAGCAGCCTTTAACCAGTAAACCTATTAAAGAGACCTTGTAAATAGATTACAGACAGGCTGACAAAACTATTGTGCTGCTCGCGCACTTGGGCGCTGTGTAAGGGCACCATTTACCAGATGGACGCCTTCTTGAGAGGGAGGGCCTTTTCAAGGAGGGTGTTACTACAGGCAGGCCGGTGGTTAATTAGGAGTTCTTTTATGGCAAGTGTTCCTTCTTACTAGGAGCTCCTGCACTGTCACTTTAATTTTATTGTGTGTACGTATGTGTGTTCATGTGGTTCCTAGAGATACAGGAGGTGAGCCAAAAGATTCTTGACTCATCTAGGAGAAACCGTAAAACATGAACGTTTGTAAAGTCCAAATAAGCAACCGAAGCCCTTGTCTGTGGACTGTGAACTTTGCCTTGCCTTGCCCGAAACAACCTCCATCTCAATGATTGGGTGTTCTGTCAGGGTCGCTGAGGTGATGCAAGATTCCAGAAATTCTTCCTGAATGATTACTCCTTTCCTTAGTCCATAGCCAAGATTTGGCATGCAGAGTCCGTGGTGACCCAAAGACTTGATTCACATTTCACACATGTCATGAAAAAGAATTAGAACCCCTCTTATACAGGCTTTTATATTTCAAATCAGTGGCCCTAAAAACACCAGCAAGGGATCTAAGCAACAAAGCAGAGCACTAAACATCTTTAATGCTCTGTTTTAAACTCAATGCACTGAGGAGACAGTTTGCAGGCAGTCTACCAACAGTAATACAGCATCTCTAACATGGCTACAACACACTTACCCTACAGGTATCCAGCACGGATAACTACACAACAGACACAGGCATCATCATGATCAGCTATTTTTAATTATCCAGTTGTCTAAGAAGGTCAGGTCTAAGATAGGTCTAGGAAGACAGGCAAGCACAGAACTGGCCAGTACGTCTAAGGCAAACCAGGCCGTTTAAAGTGTGGCCAATAAAGTGATCTTCTCTTCTTCTTTTTCAATCTTTGGAACACCTGAGTCTATAGATGGCAAATAAACAACTACATCTTTGCAAAGAACAGTGGTGACCATGAAGGTTAATGCTGTTGGTACCCAGTTACTTCAAAGATTGTTGCTTTCACAAAATGCACAATACCAGTCAGTTTTAGCCATTGAGCAGGAGCAGTTGGAAAAGAATAAGCATGGGCCCAGGAAGTGTGAGTGTGTCTGTCCAGCACTAGCACTGCGATGAGAGAAGTATCGTTTTATTGGTAGTGGCTGTGTCCCTTTAGCCTGATCTGGCTCTCCAGCGGTCAGATGGGGCTGTAATAGGCAGGAGGGCGTGGTGGTGTGAGAGGGGAATCGGTAAGCTGCCTGGGAATGTCAGAGTGCGATTCAGGATGAATAACAAGCGCAGGTGGCCTTGTGGAGATCAGTCTGCTGTGCGATACCAGGTATTGGTCTTGTCTGAATGCTCCTGTACTGTAACAGCCAGGGTCATATTTAGAGGGCATCTCATGATTCCATAAGATGCATCAGTGTGCCATAACAAGGACTTTTAGGTAACGAAGTGCCACTAATATGTTTAAAGAGTCATCAGAAATTACACCATTCAGTCCTCACGTCACACAAAACCTGATTCACCTTATGGATATGTAATGAGACAGGAGACCTGTACCACCTGGGAGCAGTTTATGACCACACCCACCTCAAGGGGTCAGGTTATTGAACGTCTACTGTATTCTGTGCGTGTTCTGCACTCTGGTACAGCGTTTTGATTTGAGCCACAAGTGCTTTGTCTCTAGGTCCTGGTTCTCAGCCTTGTGATTCGTGGTCTTCTGACTGATACGTTTTCTACTACGCCTTTCAGACTTCCCTCGTTGTCATGCTACCGTGTTTACTGCCAGCTATGGACTTTTGCTTTGTTCCTGTCTTCACTCTTGGTTTGTGTTCGCCGTGCTGCCTGCCCTGCACATGTCCTCCTCCACATCTCTGCCTCTCTCTCCTCAGCCTTTACTGGGCTTATCTCTTGAACGATGGGACACTGCTTCGTTCCACTAGGAGCAGTGGTTATGACGCTCATTCATTCATATGAATAACATTCATATGTATTATATTCTCTCCATGCCCCGTTGTGCTGTTAGCAAAACTCTTTTAACAGCCCACAACAGAAAAACTTGTGTCCACTAGAGGGACTCTGGGGGACGTATAGCACCTCAGTTAGTAAATCTGGCAGCCACACCGCTGTTTTTGTGATCAATCAGAATCAATGCATTTGCATGAGAATACTATGTGGGTAAACCGCATATATAAAAGGCCCTGCAATATATTTGTCCTCTGTTCTTGTTCTGCCACAGCCCTGCACATGTCCAGTGCCGACTCAGGAGGCTTTGTCAGTTTGTGTCCCTTTTCTGTATTCTGATCGGTTTTTGTGTCACGTCTCGCTGAAGGGATAAAGATGGAGGATGAGACCTTTCTGTACTTTGCTTATGGGAGTAACTTGCTGAAGGAAAGGCTGCAGCTGAAGAACCCATCAGCTACAATTCACTGTGTGGCCAGACTCAAGGTAAGGGGAATAAAAGAAGGAGTGGAGACTTCACAGGGCTTCCGATGATGTGACCTTCGGTATCTGTGCAACTAAGATATTTTCATTGGAAAACTTCCACAGTCTGCTTCTTTATCAGGCAACGTCTTGTATACAGTGACAGTGTTGATGTTAGGATGCAGTGTGGTAGCTGTTTTATCATGTCTTATTTGTCACTTAACTTTACCAGATTATTTTCAATTATGTCTTTGTTTTTGATATCAGAGCTCGAAGGACAACATAATTATCAGAAATCCACATATCAGGCCTCACAAACAGGATGATTAGGGAGAAAAGCCCAAGCTCACGTTGATGACAAAAATTGAATGAAATAAAACACGAGAAGGGTTTCTGGAGTTTTAGTTTCTTGTGTGATCCAACATCCGCTTTTACAACGCTACTTATTTATTTCTTCTTCACAAACCAGAGCGAAGTTAGTTGCCATTTCTGCTTTGCAGCAGTTCAGTGTCCTGTAGTCGCATGTGAGGTGTAGCAGACCTGACCTTTTCTGGGTCCGTCCGCAGCACTCACCCGCTCTCCAACGTGCTTCACTGCAGGACTACAAGCTTGCCTTCGGGAACTTCGGAGGCCGGACTAGTGACCGCTGGCATGGGGGAGTGGCCACCATCGTTCAGAGCCCAGGAGATGAAGTGTGGGGGTGGTGTGGAAGATGAGTGTAGAAGACCTCCAGTCCCTAGACAGGCAAGAGTATTTCTGCTTCATGAACTGACTTCTATTTAAAGTGATCTTTCTGGATTTGTGCCCGATATAGTGCATGGAAAGGGATAGTCTTGAATCCTTTCTTCTTGGGTTTTGTATTAAAACATTAACCCTAGCTGATTTTTGTAAAAGAAAATGTCAGCTTCAACAGGGCCCGTCTATAGCATTTGACCCACCAAATCAGTCATCCAGCAAAGTTTTATATCAATGGTTAGCCACAGACAACCCCTGAAAATTGCAACCTCACTCTTAATATAGATGGCTGCACCATCATACCTTCAGACAATGAGTATAAATGTATAAATGTGCTGAAATTCAATAATTTGCTACGCACTATGCTTAACGTATAGTTGTGCTTTTTAAATTCATTCTAATAAAATTTCAAATTGAATTAATTATTGTTTATTTTATAATTATTTCAAATGAATTAATTCGGTCATGTAAAATACACTTTCCTTTGGCAGACTGGGGGTGTTCTCGGGTCAAAAGCTCAGGTAATTTGGAGATTTGTTTTGTACCTGAACAGACAGGAGAATGTGAAAATTGGTGCTTACAGTCCAGCAGAAGTTATGGTCTCAACAAAAGTGGAGGAATTGACTTGCCGGACTTACATCATGAACAACTGTGTCTACACTCCTCCTTCACCACAGTATCTTAAGGTAAGTTTGTTTTGTTTTCCCATTTATGCAGAACCCAGTGGGGTTTATTTTAAACTGAATCTAAAACGTGAAAAATTCACTTGTTTTGAAGAATCCTATAATTAAGGGCTCTCCAGATGATAAAACAGTACTTTGCATTGTTTAGAGGGTGGATGTTATGGAGGAGATGTTGCTGGCTTGAGCCTGCCAGACTGAGCTTTGGGATTTTGGGGTTATGATGTAAGATGAGTATTCCAGTGATGTCATTTCCAACGCTAAAGCACTGGGATCCCCTGCAGAGACAGGTTGTCCTTTTGAAGCAGTAGTTATGGACTATACAATCGGGACAACCTGAGGTGCCTATGGCAGCACCTTCAACCTGGAGTCGAACCACATGCTACAGCTGTGCCTTGCAGATAAACTGCTGCCTATCATTAGACGATTTTGCGGCGAGTCTGGGGTGAGTACAATGTGTCCTCTAGTGCGAGATGAGATATTGTACTGGTCTCACTTCTCAGGACACTCAGAAACCTTCAACCCCCCTGTGTTGAAGTATAAAGTATAGCAGACTCACTGTTTGTCTGGACTGTGTGTTGGGTGCTCTGAGGTGCCAGAAAGGGCAGCTTGACTGAGATGTCTAACCGGGTTTAGATTTACATCCACAGTAGGCAATATAATCAATATCTGTGCGCATCTGAAATAGCGAAAGAAGCAAACTGGGTTTACCTACTTCATTGCACACCATGACCAGAACTGAGAATTAAACCATCACAATTCTTTCATGTATTTCAGTTTTGTGCACGCAAACCAACCACTTTGCTTAAATAGCAACAGACATTATTGTACTCTTCGTGTATGTGGGCTTGTTCCCATAGCAACAGCTGGAATTAGAAAGACCCATTGTCTTTGCGTTGAAACGACAATGAACTCAAAGCAGCACTGGGTCAAAAGTTTTAAGCTCTATTCATAGTCACTCTCCTGAAACCACTGGAAAATACATTTTAGATTCATATTCTGGATATTGCTGTAGCGAACTTTATTCTTCATTATTAGTCAGTGTAAAAATAAGCTTTACCAGCATATTTCCATGAATAGGGATGATCTGTCTTTGTTTCATTGTGGATATATACAGTATAGGCACATTTTTTGTCACGTGTTGCGTTTTGGAAAGGTGACAATTTCTTGGGCATTTTAATTGCATTGCTTCATTTAAAGTAAAATCAGTTTTGTCTATTCAGGACTTCATTTTACTTTTGTGTGAATTTGTTTTGAATATATTGCCCAACAAACTTTTTATAGTGAATGAAAAAAGCTGTGAGATTTCAGTAACAGAATTAACACTTCTTAGGTAAATCTTGCAGTTGAAATAACAAAGTGTCAATCTTGTTTTCAGAAAAGAAAAATGACCATTACTTTCACCACAGCAGTTTCAGTTTCCTAATAAACAATGAGCAACAGACTTTGATTTTGACGTACAACTCTGACAGAATACAATGGCAATTAAGTTGGGCAATTCCTAATTGAGTTACTAATGTAAATAATCAAACTACCGTTTTTTTAACATAAAATATTGTAATACTCTGAAATTGGCATAGGGGATAGTAATATTTATATGACATAATTTAACATACAAACTCATTAGATCCAGGTATTAATTTAAAATAATATATCTCAGATCCTAACTACTTAACCAGTCCAGAACACAACCCTTATAAAACCGATGGCAGCACAATATACCATAGCCAAGATCTAGAACAGCTTTGTAACTTTTGTTTAGAAATATTTACTGTGCTAAATCTTGACATTTCTGTCTACCTTTTTTTGTGCTTCAGGTTATTGTTTTGGGTGCCGAGCAGAACAGTCTACCATCAGAATATCAGCTGAAACTGAAGGCAATAAAGACTAACAACTACGAAGGACCTCTAGATTTAATGTCCGAAGTTGAGAAGGCCATGAAGATAAAGAATAAGCAAACCAATAATAAATAACTATTTTTTTCTAAATGGGGAGTCCTTTTCTTTTGTGTCCAAATTGACCACATCACAGTGTGGGACTTTAATATTAGTGTGCGCACACCGGGGTAAACATATAAATACAGCCGCTGAGGGCATCTAAACTAGAAAACTCACAGGAAAAGATCTCCAGCAGACTGGTTCGGAAAAGCCCAGCCAACACTGAGAACACCCTTCAAGCAAATAAAACATCTGCTGTGAAATTCTTATACCTTTGTGTTAACAACCTAATGAATAAAATGCAAGATCTCAAGGCTACTGCGCCGGGAGCTGTGTGACATAATAGGAACAACATAATTACATAATGAAACAACAGAGAGTGGTTGGATCGATTTTTCCCCACAAGGACAGGTAGGATAGGAGTTCTAGAGTTCCGACCATAATTTAAAAATAAAAGACAATATTGCAACAGATGGAATGCAAAACATCTTCAGTACTTCGGACACCAAAAGAACTGTAAAGTGGAATAAATCAAGAGATAAAAGGGATAACGGGAGATAAAAACAGACGTATATACCGATGTTATTAGAAACCATGGATAACTTACCTCGTGTAACAAAAAGAGCCCCGTTGTCTTTGGATAAACCAGCTTAACTGACACCCCAGAGCCAGGTCAGCTTTAAAGTAATAAATTGAACGATTATCGAGCTCACTATTCCGGTTGTACTTAAGGAAACAAGATATATTATTCATAGACCCATAGTAGTTAGGATAGTTCAGTTTTTGCTCACTCTTGTAAACGAAATGTTACCCTTAAACTGCAGGACTGCAAATTGCAATTGAATGGAAAAGAAAACAAACAAGAAACCAGCAAACTGTACACTTGGCTTGCATTTATTCAGTTACTGCCACAGCTGTGGAAACAGGTGTTCGAGGTTAATTAGAGATGCAGAGGCGCGCACACGGTGTTTGCTACCACGGATGGCGATGAGATTCACTCTCCTGGCAGCCGGCTTGTTCAGGGGCGCGTCGCGTTGTGGTGTCGTCATCAGAGGCGACGGAGCGAGTGTTAGAAGCGGGTCGCTGATTGGTGGATGGACATGGCACTATTGCGCGATCTCATTGGGCCAAAAGTATTGCAGTGTGATTTCCTGCGACCCGGCACTTGTCTTCTTATTAACTCTTTCTAGGTCTAGGTCAGATTCGAGGGGTTGAAGTATAGGGGTCGGATCGCTTGAAATAAATTTTCTCTGCTGCCAGATTTGCATACACTGCCATTCAGTGTCCACGGCTCGCTGTGGACGTCCCTATTAAATTACGTTTGCCTCTATGTTCCCAAAAAGAAACGTGATTTTTTTTTAATGCAACGTGTTTGGATGTTGGCCTTCAAGGGTTAATTAATGAGTATCAGGTCAAAAATATATCTATACTGTCTAGGCTACAGACCAGGTAGTAAATCCACTCTATTATCTCAGGTGCTGTAGTTGCGCGGATAACTTTCTGTGCGTCTTTTTCCGTTTGTAAGGAAAAAGAAAGGATTATTGGCACTTATTGTTCACGCAAAGCCCGCAATACTAATAATTTATCTTCGACAGCCGGTTGGAGAGGTATTTTACAGTGATTGTTTTTGAAAAGTTCGACTGTTTGACCTTGTCGACGTTAATGCTGCAGTGTGGAAAAAGCTATTATTAATCGGGTCATGACAAACAACGGGTACTTCTTGTACTTTGCTTACGGGAGTAATTTGCTGAAAGAAAGACTGCATCTAAAAAACCCGTCTGCAGTATTTCTCTGCAAGGGCAGGTTAAAGGTAATTTCTCAAAAGTTGCACTTTCCCTGTTCTGTTGTAAATTGTTGTTTAATTGTTGCATCGTGTAAAAAAATAAAATAAAGTCCGTTTCCGCCAGGCAGTAAAAAAAAAACCGCGCTATGATATCTCGCAATTGCGACATTGTATCTCAGAATTACGACTTCATATTTCGCAATTGCGACTTTATATCTCACAATTGCGATTTAAAATCTCAGAATTACGACTTCATATCTCGCAATTACGACTTAAAATCTCAGAATTACGACTTCATGTCTCGCAATTGCGTCTTCTTTATCTCAGAATTACGACTTTTTGTCTCACATTTGCGACTTCGAAATGCCCACATTTCATTGTCTGTCCCTTTGTTGTTGTAATGGATTCGGGTTCTAGGGCTTGTGCCCTCGCCGCTCCCACCCTAGTTCGTGCCTCCCTGCATGGGCTCGAACCCGGGTCCTGCCAGTTGAGCTAAAGACCTTCTGTAGCCCCGCCGGCCAGCATCCCTGTGTGCGCAGGGAGGGCGGTGCCGTCACCGCACTGCAACCAGATCGTACAACCTGTATGTCGGCCGGTCCGTTACACTATAGTCATACATCGTACGGGATCATAGGGTCTATAGGCCTGAAGACGTCTTGTCAAGTGCCCTGATAAAAATCAAATCAATTACAGTAGTTTTTATGGAATCCCATTTCCGCCACCATAGTACCATGATGGAATAGTGGGACGGTGGGCTTTTAAAAAAAGTTTTAATTTAAACACCAGAAATACAAAAAAGGAGACAGAATATGAAAAAAAGATACAGAAATAGACACTTCACATCCAGAGGAATTATAAAAGCTGAAACTTGTACGTTTTACATATTTCCATTATGTATGTCTTGCCTTTTGATTCTTAAGTAAAAAAGGAATTGTACTTTAAAAGCATTAATATAGGGAGCAGTATTAGACCATTTACTTTTGTGGATGAAGTATTTCGCCAAAATAATTAACAGATTAATAATAAGAACATATCCTTTATCCATATCAGATCCAAATACAAAATATGACAATCTTTAAATTTAACATTTACCTTTTAATGTTTAACAATAACATTTTGCAGATCTATCCAAAACACAATTTTGTATAAATGCAATTAACCAACAAACGTGACAAAGATCCCTTCTCATTATTACAAAATACACATAAGTCATCTTGTTCGTGTTTAAATCTAGAAAGTGTCAATTTAACAGGATAAAATCTATGAACGATCTTAAATGAAATTGCTTTAACTTTATTTGTAAGACAGCATCTATCAACAATTATCCAAACCAATTTCCAGTTTATATTGCTAAACATAGCATTCCAAAAGGAGACACAAGAAAAGTATAACGCCACAGTGGGCTTATTGTGCCAGATGAGCAACCTACTGTACGTTCATTGCTGGCGCCAGAAGTGATGTCAAAATTGTCACATGAAGGTGCAATTGTGAGATATAAAGTCGTAAATACGAGAAATGAAGTCGGAATTACGAGATTTCAAATCGTAATTCTGACATTTTAAGTCGCAATTGTGAGATATAAAGTCGTAAATACGAGAAATGGAGTCGAATTGACGAGATTTTAAGTCATAATTCTAACATTTTAAGTCGCAATTGCGAGAAATAAAGTAAACGGGCTTCCATATTTTTATTGTATAACTATTGTAGCCAAAAACAAAATCAGTGTAGAAGAGCAAGTGGTACAGACACCTTTCCAGTATTATTTACATTTCCCTTTTTACTAAATATTTGACTGTGTGTCTGAAAATCAAAGTCCTGGTCCAGGTGTTTCACGGCGGGTGCAGGCATCATTGCGAAGCTCCCGCTATGTGGTTGCTCCCGTGGAAACGCTTGCACTGACTTCCTCTTGTACTAATGGAGATTCCTTTGATCTAGAACTACGCGTTAAAGTTTGGACTGAAGAAAGAGGCTGAAAACAATAGGTGGCACGGAGGCCTGGCGACTATTCAAGAAAGCCGAGGCGATGAAGTCTGGGGAGCTGTGTGGAAAATCGCGACTATCCATCTCCATAGTTTAGATGAGTACGTGTTTTTTTTGTACCCCTAAAATACAGTAAACGCTATCACAAACCGAATGTCTTCAAGAAAAATATGTAGTCAATAATTATTAAAAACACATTCCTAGTGGAGATTGTCTATTAACTCTGCCTGATAAGAGCACCCTACTTCCTGTTAGCCACATTGTTAAGAAGAAAGTTTCAGAAATAACATATTGTTACTGTCAGTCAATACTTTATATTTTCAGCTTTGTTTATTATTTAGCTCTGTGTTCTCTACAGTTCCTTTCAGCCTTGAAGCCTTTTATGCATTCTCAGGTGTAAATGTGGCAAGACTTGTTTCTGTGGCACAGCAGAGTGTAATTCATTTGAATAATTTTGCATTACTTACAGGCAACAAGTCACTTGTGTTTTGCTAGTTTTTAGTCCTCATGGCATGATGTCAAGGTCAATATTCTCTGCAGAAAACCAAGAGTTTAAATTTCTTTAATAACCTCTTTTCCTAAAAGTGAGAGGACTTTAGCTACAGTAGATTCGGTGCAGTTCTGTTGAATGTGACAAACGCAACTGCTGTCAATCTCTTTCGAGTACCTGCCAAATGCGTGCACTTTGCAGGATAGGAATTCGAGTACAGCTTTACACGGTGCCATTATGCCATGCGTGTGTCTGTTCTGGAGGCAGGAGCTGGTCAGTCTGCAGGTGTACAGCCCTGTTGAGGTGAAGGTGGAAGCAGAAGGAGGAGAGCTGCTTTGTCGCTCCTACCAGATGAATGACTTTGAGATCTGCCTTACCTCACCGCAGTACAAGCAGGTAAGAGACCACACTAGTAACCAATCTAAAGGAGGTTTTCAGGATGGATCTTTTTCTTCTGACTCCATTGGATGCACCAAAGAAAAATAAATACATTATTTTAAATCTGTTTCAATAAAGACATATGTTGTTTGTGTTATAAATAGTGTTACTGTATGTTTATACTAAGGCCTTGTATCTGGAAAAATCCAATTGCAACTGCAAGAACTTGTTTTATTTTTTATCATCCAAATGAAAACATTACACTCAGTTTGCTTCGCATGTTAATAATGTTTTTTTTAATTTGAAGTCATATAACAAGCTGACAATCTTTTTTTAATTTATTGAACTGTGGAAACTCCACATAGAGCATAGTCTACTTCTGTGATTTAAGAGTTTAAGTGAGTTAGAGTTCATTAGAAATTTTGGATTGGAAGAAGTCTACACGGACAGTTACTCAGGACAGTTAGATTCTGCACATTCCTGGCTAATGGCTAATCAGGCCCCCCATAGCAATGAGAGCAATTTTGCCAATGAGCCAAATTAAATCTTGGGATACAGAATTTGCGATGACGCTGGGAATCAGTGTTTAATAGTCTGACCCTGTTTTGCCTCACCCACTCACTCCTGTTTTTCGGAAGGTTGTGTGCTCAGGAGCGAGACAGAGCGGCCTGCCTGACGACTACATCAACATGCTGGACTCCGTGGAGACCAATACATACGACGGGGCCACGGTGCTGGATGACATCAGGGAATCAATGAAATAGTTTGTGTCGCTCATCACCATGGCTCAGTGCTCTGACCTGGAGGTTCTGGGCACTTGCTGTGTGCTCACTACGAGATGCACCGTCAATGTACACTTCTGGGCTCCCACTTTATTACCAACAGAAAACCCGGGACCTCCTGTATACTGAACACCAGAGCCAACTTGTCATCATGGACTCGTCTTAAAAAGATGCTGGTGAAATGAACCAGCCATGAGAACTGCAGCTGTCCAGTCACTTTCGGCACCTAGTGAAGACGCATCTCTGTAGACGTCACCTGTGACCTCTCACCCCCATACTGTACTTCAGCAGCACTTACTCTGTGTTCCACCAATGCTTTTAATTCTTAAACTGCTAATATAGCGTGCTGATTGCACTAAGTACAAACAATGTGTACTTAAATGCAAACCCCTTTGCATTACTGTTTTTGCTATAGTGCATGTATATTATTTTAGTTTTTACTGTTATTTTCTTAAGTGAACCTCTTGTCCATTAATTGTACCTATTGCACAATTGTTCCTTGTCTTAAAATTGCCGGGTTGCATAGTTGGCTACTGCAGACTACAGTGCAGTACTGCCTACAATATACCTGTGACACAATTTCCCTGTAGAAATGTCACACTCTTTTAATAATTCAGTTAAAAATTGCTAGATCAGTTGGAGAACTGAGAGATTGTTTCACCTTTTAAAATTTAATAAAACGGCAAAAGCAGAAATTTTGTTCGATGTTCAGTTTCTCTTTTTCTCTGTTTTTTACTAGTTGTAAAAACTAGTAGTTGTAGGAACTAGTTTTTCCCCTCGGAAGAGCCTGGTCGACAACTTCCATTCACTTGACATCTTCCGGTTTTTATGTTTAAGATTCTGTTTATTTCAGATTCCTGTAAATAGCTTCTTGCCTGGCTATCAAATCCACCTACAGGTCAGGTTGTATTCGCTTAGTCTCCATTTAACTTTGTGCACATATTTCTCGAAAATTAATTAATAAAAATGAACACAATCTGGTGGGAATAATAAACATTGATAAATAATAACTTAATAACCATCAGATTTAAAAAAAAACTTGTATTGTTCTGAAAATGTGCATTTGTTACATGAAAACCAAGAACATTCTACAAGAATGGTTTATATAAATACAATTGTAATGTGGATACACATAGTATTCTACTTACTTTTTAATCTGTTTTCATTCTTGTCGCTCGATGGGATGCAGTACAATAAGTATCAGCGACAATCTCATTCTGCAGTTGACGAGATGTATCGTTTTCAGGGACCTACTGAACAACCTCAGAAAGAGGAGAAAATCAGCTTTGTCTCCCATCTAGCGGAGACCAAGCGAAATCGCAATTAGTCACTAACCCCGAGGTTTGTCTCACCCGTGGAAAGGAAATAATTCTTTTTTTCACATACTGTACAGCGTGTTTTAGCTTTAATCTCAGTACTACCTGACATATTTAAGGAGGTGGTTTATTTTTTTCCCTTTATTTTTCTATAAACTATCTCCCCAGATTGTTTTTATTTCCTAATCCCAAATATCTCCTGCTAATTGTAAAAACTCCCTGCGGCGCACAGCTCCAGTAGCAGTAACGGCACAATTTAAGGACCTTCGTATTTCACTTTCGCTTGCTTGTTAGGAACGTGTACCAGGCTGTAGTGTTGTTCTTGGGGCGGTGGCGGACGACTTTCCCTAAAATACTAAATACGCCACATCGCCATTTCCTTGTCCGGACGAATGCAGATTTGGAGACAGCCAAAGAGCGAGTCGCCGAAGTCACGTATGTAACGCAGAAAGGGTCAAAGAAGCGTTAAAGTCTCGGATACAACGACCGACAGACACAATTACTTCTGTATTTCTTTCTGTTTCTGCCGGCCTGGCGGATTAAGGCGGGGGCCGGAGTAATGTAGCTGGAGGTGTTCCTAAATTCTGCTGATAATCACAACTGGGTTTTCACTTCCTCACTTGAGTGAAGTTAGTTGTTATAGGTCCTTGTCTATGTGATAACCGGTAAGTGCCTATTTCTTACATTACTATTAAATATTCCATTATTATTTTGAGGGGGGGAAAAAGGCTTTGACTGTATGCATCAAAACACAACGCGACCAGCAGTTTCGTTTTCCATTCGCACTTGAACTGCGTGGTATTTCGTCCTGTCTCACTGGACGCAGTTCTGTGGTTAAAAGGGGTATCAGCAGAACGGGTGAAACTCATCGGAAATGTTTGAAGGACTAGTCTCTGTTTGGGCCCTGGAGTCCTTTAAGTCCAGGTCTTAAAACAAGGAAGAGTTTAGGCTAGTGATTTAACCATTGAGGACATCAAACTCATTTCACGCAGCAAAAACAATCTGTCAGTTACACCACGAGCGAGTGCTGCACCCTTTTATAATAATACCTCAGTGAAAATAATTTTCCGATTCTGACGCATGGTGCTGACATCCAGTTTCCCCCCTTAAGGTAGTCACTGTTCTCCACGTGTTGTTACAGCTGCCGTCGCCCGGTTTTAAAATCGCTGCCCCCCGAAACATGGTCTTTGACAAATGGGAACTCAGGACTGCTCTGCTGCAGAGAGGCCCGGTAACGGCGTGAATACCATTAGACTCCTCACAGTGCACCGGGAGACACTTGTCAGTCATATTAAGAACACGCAGTGCATCCTAGACAACCTGCTCAGCAGTGGCTTCTTCTGCACCGAAGATGCAGAGATTATATCGCGCTTCTCTACTAAAACCGACCAGGTAGGCTACTGCTTTCTTTCTAATCTCTAATGCCATCCGTAAATGTAAGGTACAAACCATGAAACGCATGACTTTGCATTACAGAACTAAGTTTCTATTCAAGCCAGTTAACGCATGCTTCAGATACCCCCTGTATTTTAAATGATGTTGCTCATTCAGGCCAGTTTGTCCGATTTTTATTTTATTTTATTGGGCATCTCCAGTAAAAATAAACCTGCCAGTATCTATACAGTAGAAAAAAAAAACATTCTGCTCTGGATTATGAGTGGAGAATGTATAGTTTTCAAACCCATGTGCTCGGAGAAAATGTTAAATTCAGCCTCAAAGATATGGCAGAAAATATATTTTTAATAACGCATTAGTCCAGATTTCTCAATGACTCTCACAAATACCTGTATTTAACTGTTAATTAAAACTCAATTCATGTCTTGCCAGGTTCGTAAAATTTTGGAATTGGTGCAGAGCAAAGGAGAAGAGGCGTCTCAGTACTTTGTGCATGTTCTGCATGAGGCCTATGATGCCTATATAGACCTAAGGCCTTGGTTTAAAGAGATTCAGTATCAACCCTCTGACTCTGTTAAGGAACTACCAGTGGTCAACACTGATCCAGGTAAATATTAGGGTAACTAATAAAGGAACACTTAATTAGATGTTGAGATTTTTGGTTTGTGTTTGCAATTGAATAATTTACAGTGCCTTCAAGAATCCTATGTCTAGTTTTCGAGCTGGCTGTAATACGGAGCACACTGGCTGTTTGTAGCTGCCCCTGCATCAGGACTAAGATTGATAATTGGCAACTGAAAACAGTTGAATTCTTTGATTGGGGAACCTTATAACTAAACAACAAAAGTTAAGGAAGTTAGTTTCCTTATCATTTCGAATGTGTGTTGAATACACATTTAAGGTGGTCGTGGTTTAATTAAAGGTGAAAATGAACTGTGGTGGTAGAAGTAACTAGACATACATGTTCAGTGAGCGGGAGCAGGTTGGACAGCAGTATTTGATATCTAAGGTGTGGAAGTTAAAGATACTGGTTTCCCTCTCTTTAGGATTAACGCTCTTTTCTTACTGGCTCAAGGGCAACTTTCTAGCACTAGGTCTGTCTCTGTCTGGACCTGGGTTGAGAAAAATATTTTTTTGTCTCGGCTAAGATTCCTTCCCATTTCTTTTACCAAGTTCCAGCAATGTCCAGCTTGTAGATACCTGCTTCAACACCTAGAAGTAGAGTTTTCAGTTCACGTTTATGTTTGGATTGATGGAGTTTAAGTTTTTTTGGTTAATTTCTTTAGTAAGCAAGTACTGCAAGAAGCTTCGCCATGAGCTGGAACAGGACACCAAGTTCATCACCTCCTACGCACAGAAAGAGGAGACGCTGCTGGATGAGATGTACACGGACACCGTGATGGAGCTGCTGAACGAGCGCAATGAGAACTTGGGTCACCTGGACGGCCTAGAACAGCTGTTCAGTGACTGGGGGGTCTTCAACCAGCTTGCAGAGACCATCTTGGTCCTGGGAGATGCTGGTGTAGGGAAGTCCATCCTGCTGCAGAAGCTGCAGAACTTGTGGTCCACGAGGCAGCTGAACATCCAGGCGAAATTCTTCTTTAAGTTCCGGTGCAGGATGTTCAGCGCCTTCAAGGAGACCGATGAGATTTCCTTGAAGGACCTCCTCTTCAAGTACAACTGCTACCCGGACCAGGATCCGGACGACGAGGTTTTCCGGTACGTCCTGCTGCATCCGGAGACCGTGCTCTTCACCTTTGATGGCTTTGACGAGATCCACGCCGACATTGACACGAGGAACATTCCAGAGGTCTGCTCACCCGAGGAGAAGACCCACCCGCTCCTGCTGCTCATGAACCTGCTCAGTGGGAGGCTGCTGAAGGGCTGCAGGAAGGTTTTGACAGCGCGCACAGGCACGGAGATCCAGAACAAGGTGGTCAGGAAGAAGGTCCTTCTTAAAGGGTTTTCCCCAGAGAGCCTGCGGAGGTACACTGCTCTGCACTTCCAAGAGAGGGATTATCAGGCTTTAGTTAATACCCAGCTGGACGCCAACCCTCATCTCTGCAGCTTGTGCTCTGTGCCCTTGTTCTGCTGGATTATCTTCAAAAGCTTCAAACACTTCCAGTCCATTTATGACGATTTTGAGCTGCCCAACATCTACATCACCCTGACCAACGTGTTCATGCTCATGGCGGAGGTGTTCCTCAGTCGCCCCTCCAGCCCCAGCTTGCTGAAGAAAAGCAGCAGGTGTCAAGCCGATACTTTCAGGACCGGGAGGGAGACTCTGATGGCTTTCGGCAAGCTGGCCAATCTTGGCATGGAGAAAACTGGCTTCATGTTCAATCACGATGAGGTGTCGTCCTGCGGCCTGACGGAGAAGGAGCTGCAGCTGGGATTTCTGAGGCCTGCCAGTCACTACGATGGCAGTGGGAACCTGTCAACCTTTGAGTTTCTTCATGTCACCCTTCAGTCTTTTTTTGCAGCTTTTTTGCTGGTGCAGGATGAAAACATAGGCTCTGTGGGTATTCTGAAATTCTTTACTGAATGCGAATATAGAAAAACGACACATTTTTGCACCTGCCTTGGAGGCTCCAAACCTTCTACGAAAGATCCCTTCCAGGACAACGAGCATTTGCAGTTCACTAACCTGTTCCTGTGTGGACTTCTGTCCAAGTCAAATGTCAGCCTGTTGGAGCACCTGGTGTCCCCAAAGTCATTGAAGAAGAAACGAGAAGTCCTTAAGTCCTATTTATCTGACAGCGTGAAAGCTCACTTGAAAAATGTGCCTCGGTTCAAGTCTGAGGAGGAAGGGAGCAAAATACACGTTATGCCCAACTTCATTTGGATGTTAAGATGCATTTATGAGACCCAGAGTGAAGAGATCGCCAAACTCACTGCCAGTGGAATCTCAGCTAGTCACATCAAGCTGACTTTCTGCAATATCTACTCGGCAGATTGCAGTGCACTGAACTTTGTTCTGCACCATTACAAGAAACATATCGGTGTTGACCTGGACAACAACAATGTCAGTGACTATGGTGTGAAAGAGCTGAAGGCATGTTTCCATAAACTGACAGTAATAAGGTAAGGGATATACAGCGAAACTGTTGTTGGTTGGTGGGTTTGTTTACGAAGATGAAGTAAAATATGTTTTGAAGTGAACTTGGAGGGTGTCTGGCAAGTAACGTGATTAGTAACTTTGTAACTCTGTTTTCCTAAGTAAAAGTTATTTTTTGGTGTATTAAGATGTTTGTGCTTTTCAGATTGTCTGTCAATCAGATCACAGATTGCAGTATGGAAGTCCTAGCGGAAGAACTGATAAAGTACAAGATAATCAGGGTGCTGGGGTAAGTAGTTTGTAAAAATGTTTTGCCAATTAAATGAGTAATGTTTAAGTTAATGCATCCTTAATCACATCCTGTCTGGATTTTAAAAGTGGGTATGAAACTGTTCAGTCTTCCCGATCAGTATAAAGTATTATCTGCTAATCCATGCATGGACTGACATAGATGCACGAAGTCCTCTTCTGGCAGGATGTCAGTCATTTGGAGGAACTGCCCCCCATATCAGTTAAGACGCTCTGTTGGTACTTGATAGTATTTGATCTAATTCTGCTTCGTTTCAGACTGTACAAGAATCAGTTAACTGATGTTGGAGCCAAACTGGTTGCTCAGATCATTGAAGAATGCCCAAGTCTCAGAACTGTAAAGTAGGTCCCATACATTAGAAGTTTTCCTTTGGTAACACGATTTGTATTATGTGGATTTCCGTGTGTACTGCATGTCGTCCTTGTTGTACAAGATTGGATAGAGCTCAGGCCACCCAGCTTGAATACTTGCTGGCCTTTTTTCTGTTGCAAAAAGTAACTACATATTGTATTTGGTCCTCATGTTTCTTCTTTTGATACATAAGAAATAGGAAGAAATGGTTACAAATGAAAGGAAGGCCACCCAGCCCGTTTGGTAGTTAGTAGCTAATTGATCTAAGGATCTTATCCAGCTGTTTCTTGAGGAAAGCCAGGCTTCAAGCACATGGTGCGTGGCTTGTTCAAACTCTGATTAACGTGTGGCTAACCAGGAGAAAAATGGCACTTTACCATTTCAGAAGGATTCCTAGATTTCTGGATTTCTGTAAACACTGTTAAAACTTTCTTTTCCTGTGGTAAAAAATTGAATTTTTGTTTCTCAGAATCGGGTGCAACAAGATTACGAGCAAAGGTGGAAGATACTTGGCCGATGCAATTCAGAAAAGCAGAACTATCTTTGAAGTTGGGTAAGGCTTACTGCGCGTTTAGAAACCACATGGACTTCGAACCCGTTCCGGCCTCCTCAGGTATGACCATGACCTGTGCTGTTCTTCCATGTCGGTAGGATGTGGGGAAACACCATCGGGGACGAAGGAGCGAAGGCCTTTGCCGAAGCCCTGAAGAATCACCCCAGTCTGACAAACCTCAGGTAGGAGCATCTGAGCGTCTCGAGAAGCTGCTCTGGACTGCAGTGCTGTCTGAGCTGGTTTAGAACATGTGCTCGAATTACAGAAGCGTCTGTATTTCCTGAAGGCAGGCTATAGGAAAGGGCAGATAATAGATAGAACAGGCTGATGACGGAATCGTCGTGTTGGAAGTGTGTGAGGTAGCAGTCTACAACACTATATTTCGTAAAGAATAATTTGAGATTTTTTTCCCGTGATACTCTGGACCTCACCACTGCCCGTTTGGCTTGATTTTTGGCATCTGAATCTCCGGAATTTTTCCACTTTGCCCACGTCCGCTCGAAGAGCTGCTGGCGCTGTCCCCCGTGGCTGGTCGCACAGAGCCCGCAGGAGAGCGAGCAGTGGTCGGAGGCGAGCTGCAGCTCTCACCGAGAGCCAGTCATGCCGGCGGCTGACTGGACAGTTGTAGTGGTTGCCATTGTGCCGCCAACTGCATCAGGCCTTTTGTCTCGTCCTGCTGCGTGGGGAATTGGGGCTGGAGTTGTCTAAGGGGACAGTCCTCAACTGGCGATGTCTAGACTGGCTTTACTGTTTGAGCCCCCAGAGTGTCTACAGATGTATGATGATAGAATTTCTTAACATCCTTGTGTAAAAATATAGATCTCTTCTGAAACACTAGCCACTTTTAACAGGTTGCATTTACGGAGGAATACAGGTGTTGTGACATGAACGTCGCAAACGTTTCCATGTGTGCTCTGGTTGGTCATTTGCAGAAATAAAACAGACCCTTAAGAGACCTCCTCTTAAATGTAATGTTGGCAGGTTATTTAGCCCAGATAAGCACCTGTCTAAAATGTTTCTTATTTTATCTTGAAGCCTCTCTGCCAACGGCATCTCCACTGAAGGAGGAAAGAGTCTGGCTGCTGCACTGAGAGAGAACACATCTGTCCATATTTTTTGGTAAAATACACACCTTTTCTCTAGTTACAAATCTGATTGCAGATTCATGTGTTTTGAGGCAAAGATAGAAACAGTACAAAGTCACTACTAATTAGCATACTATTTTTTCCAGATAATTTTGTTCTAGTGAATGAGTTCCAGAGTTAATTTTCCAGAATCCTCCAGACTTTTGTCCAGCTTATTGAACTCCTGCATAGTGCAGTTAAATGTGCAGTACAATTTACCTATGTTTTAAGGAGGTTCTCATTTTCAGTACACCTGTGATGAACAACTGTAAATCACACATTTCCCTGCAAAAAGAACCTTAGGGAAGTTTGACTTCTGCGGTCAAAGAAGAGTTTCCTGTGGCTCTTTGTCCCTCAGGCTGGTTCAGAATGAGTTCAATGATGAAGTTGCTGGATGCTTTGCAGAAACAGTCCGAGTCAACGCTGGGTTAACCCATCTGTGGTAAGTGCAACTTCAAAGGGCCCAGCCAACATACAGGCCTGCAGTCTGTGAGTGAGCTAGCCTCTTGTTCCAGGCTCAAAAAGGAAGTATGAGTAATGATGTGATATTTTGTGTTGCTCAAGAAGGCTTTTTTTAAGACATGTAGGGTAATACAGCACTTTGCAGGCATTTGAAATGGTCATTCTTCTTTTTGCTGTATCTGTAATTGAGCTTTGGGTCATTCGATTGCAATGGAGATTATTGTTCATGTACAATATGTGATCAGATATGTTTCATTTTATACTTTTAATTTCCCCGCTCAGTCGATTTTGGGAATTTAATATTATTTGTGCTGGTGCTGTAATTAGCCTTGGCACACTTGAAGACGGTACCCTTATTGTTTCTCCAGGAGATCAGTTTTTGTCCAGATGTAGCTAGCAGCTGTCACGCTGTTGGATACCGTTGTTAGGAGGCTGGTTTCAGATGAGAATCTAATTATGAAATCACAAGATACTTGCCATGTGTTACTTGCCATAATTGAAAAGCAGTTGATATATTTTTCCAAAACCCTTATAACCAATTTCCTGTCTAGCACATCAAAAGAGATCTTATATAGCTTATACTCAATATTAAAAACAAATGCAAAAAATATAAACAAGTGTAATTGTAAAATTGTACAGTGTAATTTGTAAAATTTGGAACTATTTGTGGTGTAGTAAAATTGATAAAATAATTGGAATAGTTAATATTACTTTCAGGTCACATATCGTGTTACCCTGGAAATATGTTTCCTTACACACTGTCATCTTGTACTCTGTCAGCTGTTCATTTTCAAGATGGACGTCTGTCAATATCTCTGTTTCCAGGTTAATCGAAAACAAGATCACAGCTAAAGGGGCAAAACTGCTAGCGGACGCTCTGCCTCAGAACGGATCGCTTAAGGAGATCTGGTAAGATTTAGACATGCGTCTCCGCTTGTCGCGCTGGAGTGAAAACTGTTAAATCGCCTGGCCTTGCGTGCAGAGGCAGGCCCGCCGCAGGTTCAGCTGGAACCCAGGCCAGAGAAGTTGTAAAGACGGCCAAGGCCACCTGTTGCCCCCCTGCTACACCCCCACCCAGACAGCGCAGATCGTGCAGGGCGGCTCAGTTCCCTCTTCTCATCTTCCTGCTTCTTTTGTAACAGCCTGAAAGCAAACCTCCTTTCCAAAGAGGAAGAAGCGGCTTTCAGCCACGAGCCGCGGCTGATGTTCTGCTGACGAAGACCCGGCCCGGCCCAGTGACGTGACCTCACCTCACCGCGTGAGCCTGGTTTGATTGCGTAGTCAAAGCACATGTGGTATTAATAGATACCGTGGAAGGGCTGCAGTGGGCTGGGTCGTTCCGGAGTGCTGTTGCAGTGGCGCAGGCTGTGCCTCATGCTGTGGCAGCTTTGGGAAGACACTTTCCCCAAAAGAAATAGATTAAAAAACCGTTAGGGGGTAGATTTTGTCACTATCCCTCAGACGATTTCTTTTTGTAACCTTCATGCTACTGCTTAAAAGTTGCTTAAAACAGTTGAATGCAACCTGTTGTTTTCAGCCATGTTAGATCATTTGTACGTTTGTTAGAACAGGAATTATCTGGCCATCTTGGTAGCAGTGCAAGGAAGTGTTTCGCATCTGTGTGATAAATGTGCACTCCCTTATTCCCTTCTGTGACACTTTGTATTGTGGTGTAACAGTTCTTACTCCTAGTCCAAGGCACTAAACTGCAGTAAAACTGCATTGCAGAGCTTTGTAGCACTTTGAGCTCGTTATTTTAAATGTTTACCGATTAAAGGTCTTGTCAATGAGAATTTTAATTTTACGGATCATCAATGAGTTTATAATGGTACACAACAGCCTGTTTTAATTGGCAAGGCATTGACCACTGTTGCTTACAATTTAAATAAGTTTGTTAATTGCTCAAGAGGTATTGTTCTGCAAGAGAACAATTCCAGGCTCAGGTAATGATTTCTTAAAATATCAGGCGCCCAGTATTTGTTTCGAGTTTTTAAATTTGTTAAGGGAGTTGAGAATCGGCATAGATATCTAGTCAAAAAGACATTTTGATGCATGTAAGCCCAAGCCACCTCTATGCCCTACTGTGATGAAAAAAGCCTGGTTGCTGTTAGCGTGAAGGTGGTGGTTTCTGATGCAGGACTTGCCCAGCGTTCCCCTTCAGCAGGCAGCAGAGCGGAAAGCAGCTCTGCGAGAAACAGGCCATGTCCACAAAGACTGACCCTGGACAGTCGCAGAAGGCCGAGAACTTTTGACTCCACAGTGTTGTTCTCTGTCAACATTTTCTTTCACTTTTCAGACAAAGGAAAATAAAAATCTAATCCACTACACTGTGTCCCTCCCTGTCCCTAAAATCCCTGTATGTTTTGTTTAATTGCGGGGAAGAGGAAACTTTCAAGACGTTCTGTGTACACTCTTGATTTGAAATTCAATAGTAGCAGCCTGTGTTGTCATCAGTCTTTTATCTTGTGACTGGGGGGGGGGCATTGATTTTGGATGAGAAGGGTGGGATGGGCGTCAAGCCAAAGAGCTCCTAGTCCTTGCGCAATCACACTGACACATCACAACCTCGTATACAGCAACACCCCCTTTGTGTTCCATTGAACCATTAAACATCAGCAGCAATCATGAAGCAGCATTCTGGGACAGCAGGAAAGACCGGTCTTGCACGTACAGTTCTAACCTGTTGCTTTCAAAGTCGCTTCCGTAGTAAAACCTTTCTGGATCTGCCGTCCACATGCTGCTTTACTGCAGACTCGGACCCACTGATCCAGGGCCGCGGTTTCGCAATGACCGCTGTTTTTTGAAGGTGCGATATAGAAACCTGGTTTCGCACCTGTCAACAATACAACAACATCAGGGACAGAAATATGTGACAGGTTGACTAAGCAGAAGGTCAAGTAGTCCCTTAGTCTCAAAATGAAACGGAGAAAATCCGTATTTTGTGTTAAATGGTTTTTTTTTCTTACTCATCTGTTCAACTAAAAATACATTCAAGGTGAAAGGTGCTTGAAAAGATTTTATTTCACATTTATGTACATATTTTACATGAATGGAATGTTATTACACATACACCCTTAAATCATTAAAAAAATATACCATGATCATCAGCTTGTCGAAGAAGTACCACAGTGCTACATAACCAGAATATTCTCTTTCAACCGGTTTAATTACAAAATGTACAAAGAGCTTATTTCATGTCAGCTGCTCCAAATTGGTGACAGAGCATTTAACACTTCTTCTTGATTACAGAAAGACACAGTATTTGCCTTAATTTGTTTTGAATTATCCAGCTGGTGTCACTCATTGTTTTGTATCAAATCAGTAAAATGTGTTGCATTACCTATGAATATAATGTTAATAAAAGGAGTTCATGTTTTAAAGCCCCATAGCTTTTAATTACTCACACAACCTGCATTTATTCTGTTTTTCTGTGTGGTGAATACACAGTTAATTGGAAGCTCGCCTTTCGCAAACTGTATTCACGTGGGCTCAGGTATGGCAATTTTAGCATAAGCAGCAAATAAAAATATTTACAATTAACAATGATGAAAAACATTGGAAAAAATAAGTATTTACTGGGGGGAAAAAAGTAAAATGATTGTAACCTTGATAAATTCCAGCAAAGGTTCTTGGATGACCCCTTTTCGATCTATTAAAGCAGAACTAAACAACCTTACAGAACAAGCCAGGAGTGCCCCTGTCCAGTCCTAAAGTATTACTCTCTAGTATCTTCTTTCAAAAATTAATTTATAAATTATTAATATAATATATTTATAACATTAATGAAATATGACAATGTTTCTCTGGAGCAGGTCAGAATCTTCACTGAGAATTTCATGGCATCACTGGACTCATGTCCAGCAGGCTTTCGGGCCAATACCCTAGTAGAGTTGTGACATAAATCACTGGCTTCACAAGATGAAATGAAAATCCCCTTGGCACTGCGGGGAAATGGGACTGGCCCTCAGGTGAAGACAGTGAAAAGACACAAGGGAGTCTGGCTGTAGCTGGTAACGTTGCCTCCGTTTAACCTGACTGCAAGCCTTTCTATGCGAGACAGAACAGCCGGGCTGCTCGTTTTTAAAACATGAATTCTCATTCTTATGCAGTGAGAAGACAAAAATCTGGCATCAATTTTTCTAAACACCTCGTAAATTAACTGTTCTCTCTCTATATAAAAAAAAAAACGTAAATCACAAGTATAAGATGTTGATCTTATGTCGGTTTCACTTTGATATGACAACACTATTTCTTTTGAGATTGGTGGACTGTTAAAAATATCAGTGTCTCTGACGATACAATAGTGCAAGCTAGAAATCAGAATCCCATAAACTTCAAGAAGTTGTTTATTTCAGCCTTTTTTGGTATCGTGTTTAATATCATCTTGTCAATCCCTTTGACAACCAATGGTCTGGAATAGCATGTCTCCTTACTCTTATTAGAAACGTTAAGCAATAAAGATGTCTCGCATCCCAGCATCTTACAGGTTCCAAAGCTTTAGTGACATTCACTGCGTCCTTACCAGCCATTAACTCTTTATTTTTACCATTTGTGAATTACTTTCAGATTAACACCGAATGGGCTTTGCTTGGCATATCACAGCACTTCAATGGCTTCAGAAGGGTTGATACAGCAAAGTACTCGGAAGGCCTCCAGTTTTAGCTGAAAGCTGATACGGGCTGCAATCATCCCCAGTAAACTGCAACAAGACTGGGATGTTTAAGGGAGGAGGAATGTAATGTGTGAATGTGTAACATTTGTTTTGCTGGTACTGCAGTTGCTGCTGAAGCTTATCCATTGGCAAATTAGTGGATGAAAACTGCCACATTTTCAATTCAAACCAGACTTTCACCACTGTACCTTCATATTGAAATTGTTTGACGGAAGACAGTCACATCTAAAGCATTAGGACCACAGCTGAACTCCCAGTGAGCTACAGACTTACAGCTCGTGAATGGCCAGTAGCGTCCCTTGTTTTTTTGATTTTGCATGCTGTCATTCAGCACGCTGGGTGTGTGAACAATTCACTCACATTCACAGAGATGCTGCACAGATCGTGGCTCTCAAGCAGGATCAAACCCGAGAGAAAAACAACTTCAGGCCTTTGCAAACAGACCCATGAAAAAGCACAGGCTGTTGCTCCTGCACCTTCTACAGTATTTTACAGATGAGCTTAAAGGGGAGAAAGCACTCCACAGAAATACGTTTCTGAATCATTTAAAGGACTTACAACTCTTTGTGCTGTTTTTAATGCACAATCTTTTTCTTTCCTCATTTCTTATGTGCACGCCGGTGTCATGTCAGAAGTATGATCTGAACACATTTCGAAGGTATGAACTGAACTTTTTCTCTGTGACAGCAAAGTAAGTTTTTTAATTAAAGTTTCCTTCTATGGCAGTAATCTGAAAGCCTATTCTAAGGAGCACAGAGCATGGCACAGACACTGAACAGGTTCACTAAGGCAGGTCTCCACTGCGATTGAATTCAGTGTGCCATTGTTCTCGAGAAAATCCTAGAGGACGCGTACACACTAATTATGCACTTTGTAAAGCAGGACATCATCTTCTCTAATCAATATTCAACTGCGTGTGCACATAAACCTCAATTTTCTTTAGCACGGATATTTTTAGAAAGGAGCACCTCTGCAGCCAGAAATTACTCATAATTGTGTGGTTGTGCAAAATGTACAGACATTACGTAATTTCGACATTAAAAGATGATTAAGAACAACAGTAAGAATGATGTTATTAGCAATATAGAGGCAAGAATATGTACAATTATCCCTGTACTTATCCCTGGATTTAGTTCAGGGTCAGCTGAGCTTCATGTCCCAAACTAATAATGCTACCCTCTACGACGACCAACATTCCAGGCATACATCAAGAGCATCAGCTTTCTCTACGCATTCAGGTTACTTTGCTGCTCCCACCCCTGAAGCAGCCGAAAGACCTAAAGAAAGCACACAGCAAAGTTCGCCTCCTCCTCCCCCAGCTGCAAGAGACACACACTTTCTGCAGGGTCTGGCCCAGGTGGCTGCAGCCCAACGTTTGTCGTGTCGAAAATGCTCAGCCACATTCATAGTGGCCGCACTGCTCACAAGGGACGTGGCCCTGAAATCTAACCCACCCACCACCCAAGCCAGACCTGACGGACGCGCGGGGTTTCAGCCTCCTCGGCCTGTAGCATCCTGACCTTTTCCATGGAATGGGGCTCTTCGGCAGCGACCGGCCCCTTCGGTCTGACTGAGAAGGCACTGGTATACAGTTAGAAAGGAGGTGGCTCCAAAATGAAGAGCTGTCCCATCGTACAATCAGCCAGCCGATTAAATCAGCCCAGCAAGCAGAGGATTTGGATCCGTTGTCTGATAAAGCACTGGAAAAGAGTGGAGAACCATCTTCCTCCGCCTCATGGAGAAGACTGTGCCCTTGAAAGGCAGAGAGGAAGCTACTGAACTTTCCCCTAGCACTTGAACATCAGTGAACAACAGGGCAGAGTATAATGCATTTGAGCTGCATAGGAGTGTCAGAGTGTTTGCAAAGTGTGCTTGGAGATACAGAAGAGTGAGAGTGCAGACTTCTGTATATCCACAAAGCACACAGATGATATGTACATATTAAGGTGGGGTGGCTCATTTTTATCAGCAAAATCCCACAAAGTTATTACTGATCTGCATTTCTCAAGGATCAGGAGCGACTCCATTCTGATCTGACGAGGAGGAATAACTTTGATCAGCCATAACAAAACACGTGTCGCACAGTCTGGAAGGAAGATTTTGTTTTGTTTTAAAAAAGTGAAATTTAAGGTAAAAGCCCGCCATGACAGCAACCTATAAAATATCACTGTGCGTCTGTGGAAAGAATTTTAAATCCTTGAAGTCTTTTATACAGACAACAAATGTGTGCAAACAAATGCATAAATATACAAATCTGAATCCCTGAAGACTGATTTACTGTTTTGGCACACCAAAGTGCTGTGACAACTGGCTCAAAGAGGGGAGGATGCTGTTTTTCTGGGAGGTGAGGATCCGTGTGCGTTCCGTCCAGCCAGAGGCAGGCGCTGGCAATGGTACTGGCATCTTCATGAACAAAATGAGCTCTGCAGTCTGCTCGTCTCAGAGCAGACCTCTTTCCTTAAGAGGGGAGTCGGAAACCTACATGAAAAAGACGATGTTTTAAGTTTATATTTTTCCTTTAACCAGGATCATTTTCCATGTTTCATAACCATGAATTCGGTTCCAGGAATAGGTTCTGCTTCAGAACTACTTACAGTTGAAAACTTTAATCAAATTGCCAGCTTACAATATTTAACCAAGGTAACTAAAAATAAACACAGCATTAAATGGACATTTTATGTATTCAAGTAGTATCTCACAATATCAATGCCTACAGAACTATTCACGCACGCAAGAAGCAACATACAAACAGCATGCTGTAATAATACTGAGCCTTTACCTGTGCAAAAAGTAAATTCTTTAATCTGAAGGGTGTTCTGGACACGACCTGTTCACCTCGAACCATTCATCTATACAGCTAGGGGACACAAGAAAAATCAGAATGTAACTCACAAACAGCGTGCACTCCTAGACATAAATTGGTCAAAATAATTTTTAAAAAATAGACAAATATACTGGAGAAAACAAAATATTTTCTAACTCTGAAACTGCAGCATGCAGTAGTGAAAATATAGTAAACAATTAGGTGTGAACAGAGCGAACCTTTCTACTAAACCAACGGGTTTGGCCCCAGATTTCCAGAGCGAGCCCGAGCGAGACGGGGAATATGAACAGACCGCCTGTCCTCACCCCTTGTGGTAGATGCACAGACAGGTCAGGCGAGCGATGGTGTCTCCTTGGACCAGCTCCTCCAGGCATATCGCACACTCCCCTGCATCTTTCGTCAGTACGTCCTCTGAAGGAAAAGAGCACAAGGCAGCTTGAGAAATAAAGGAGAGAGTCATAGACCTGATCCTCCCAAGCCTTCTCCGAACAGATAATTACATACAATAATCGAGATCTTTCAGACTGTGAAGTGGATTTGTAAAACAGCTCTTCCGTTCAGTATCTCATTACTCAGTAGCTTCCTACCGGAACGATGCCGTAGTCATAGGGAACCGATTGACAGTCCAAATCTAAACGCTTCTGATAGTGAATCGGGAACGTGTACTTCACTTCAACAAAATTATAACTGCACAACCTCTTCTTGGCATTTAAAAAAGTCTAGTCATGTTGCATGTTAAGAACCAGACACTCGTGAAACCAGCAGAGGGCACTCTTAATCTAGATATTACATTGCCATAACCATTAAATTCATTAAATAAGGTCACAGGTTTTACATTACAGTAATCGGCACACAGAAACAAACAATCAAAAACGTTGTGCAATGTAGAGCACTACTGGTTGATGCATTGCAATGGAATGTTATTTATTGGGTGATGAGACGCAGTCAGAATTTAACTGCCAAACAAGTATGAAGCAAAATGGACAGCGCAGAGCAGTCATTTATTCACTGGGTGTTTTTCACTGAAGGGTGGCCATTGCTAGGTCTTAGGTCAGTCGGGAATCTCCACGGAGCAGAGCGACCCTCCCCCAGCTCAGGGCCAAGGCAGCTGCGAAACGCTTTCTTCACAATACTGAAGAATTATTACACAACTTCAAGAAAAGCAGCAGCATTCATAGTGGTCATTTCAATTTCTGTTCCAATCAGCTGGCAAATCCAGTTTTTAAAAAAAGTCCTTGCAGACAGTTATCCATTTGGCCTAAAGTATTTTATGTAAGCTTAAACTTGGATATACGGTATACAACACCTCCCATACAATCTCAATTCCAGCACTTAGTCCGGGGATTTTGTGTTGCACATACAGGAGGGGAAACTGAAGAAAAACGGAAGAGGATCGTACCAGTGGCTATTTACGACAAAATGCTGACATGCTCAAAAACTAGATTGGATTCATTCCTGAGGAAGAGCAAACGTGCCATTTTAGTGGATTTATAAATGGAAGACTTTCCAGCAGGAAAAACCTGACTGACTTACAACTTTATTTGAAGCGCCTCACCAATATGAAAGTAACGATCACTGAGTGTTAAGCTTCTTTAAGTCCCAATGTGAACTCCTATCTGGATACAGCGTTTACCGAAACCCGGAAAACCTCACAGGCAACTGGCTCCTAAGTCTACTTTTTTGGAAATCCACGTATAGCTTTACCTCTTCTCTGGTTTTCACTGGATGAACTCAGTAATGGCACAGGCTCCTGTGACCCAGAGGTGCTGGACAGCGTGGGGAAACAATTCCCTTAAGGATTCAATAAACAATCTATTTTTCCCCAGATGCATTTCACAACAAACAAAAATGTTCAAAGTCAAAGGGGACAAAAAAAGCCACTTAAATGGTACCTCACGTTCAATCTGAGACGATAGTTTCAAAACCATTTTAGCTCCAATTGTCTACAGTACATAGCATTATTTTAATCAGTTTCCTAGCTCCAATTAGGAATGTATGCTGTCAGTATTACAACTAGCTTGTGACGTCAATGGGTACGATACCTTGTCTGACAAGCTTGTTCATCCATGTGACTGTAGTGCCAAGCTGAATTACATGAGCTTGGACTTTATCAGTTTAACTGTACTTCACATTTTCCAGCAAAGCCAAGCTGTGCCAGCGTACACTACAATCGTGTGCATACTGTCGTGAAGTAAATCATGCCCACACCGACATCAGCACTTAATCCAGGCCCTTGCAGAGACCTTCACCAAACACAACCTACACTTTCGTCCAGACTGATGACATGCCCAGAGACAGCCTAGCCTTATAAACACGCATTAAACACAGCAAGTAGTTTCCAAAGCACTGTGGCTTACCAGTGCAATAAAGAAATGTCCTTCCGACTACTTTAGAAGGTAGAATACCACATAACATATCTTCATAGACTATACACGTTTAACAGAATTTATATCACTACTCCAGTTCTGCACATTTGTAGGTACAATAAAATGCAGTGTTTTAAGAAATTTTAGAAACCACTGCCAAATGTGCTTTATTTCCATAAATTCACTTAATTCACTTTGTCAAAGGTTAGTCATACAGTATCTATCCAAGCAAACCACTCCTTGATCTTCAATTGTTTCCACCAACTCTGATTCACCAGATTTATCACTGGCACTTACAGTACATGTGGTATCAATACAATGGTTTGTTTCAGCAACTAGAGCAGAAATGTTTTTCTCCCTCTCCAGGACAAGTGTATCCAGTGCCATGAAAATCACTATTTCACTCCTGTACATTTTATTTCTGGAGGACGTGGAACTGAACTTTGGTTTCCTTTCTAGTAAAACATTAGCCCCCAAAATGAAAGGGATGTTCTGTTCCTGGAAATGTGCTCAGAAAATCATACAGATTTCCAGAAGGGTCTTCAGACTCATGGGTCAGGGCAGCAAAGGATGCAGGAAAACGTCTCGGGGATAAAGACTGGACCCTTCTCGACTGCTGCAGGGAGAAGGTGGATATATTGAACACATATCACCGTGGAGTGGATCAAAGAAAGGACAGACAACAGGCTAAAAGATAGAAAGATCCATATTAAACATGAGTAGTATCTGCGACACCTTGGGAGGAGCGCTGGTCAGAATATCCAGGCTTTGCCCTGGCCTGTCCTCTAGCCTCTGGTACAGAACAGAGGTCCTTCTCATCAAGACAAACTGCTCCTGTGGTTGGAGACTTCGTCTGTGCCCGTTCCCACAAATGCAAGAGGGAAGACACCTTCTTATCTTGGTTCTCCAAAGTAATATCTTCCAAAAACTGCTGGTTCTTTGTTCTTTTTTTTAATTCGCTAAAAAAAAAAGGAAAAAAAAAGAAACTAGCTTCCAGCACAAATACCTGTTCTTAACACAAACAGCACACTGTGTGCCACACCCTTAGAAGCCCCGAGCACAGGGCTTCCATTGAGAACAGCTCTCTTTAATCAACTCTGGCCTTGACATTGTCAAAACAACAACGGGGAAAAGCTGTGGGGGTGGAGATGATCAAAACCTAGGCCCACAGCAGAATCCCCCAACTATTTTCTCATTATCAGTCACATACATTACTGCCTTCCCTATATCTTGAGAAGAGCGAGGGGTAAATAAAATCTGGAAACGCATGGGGCAATGTGTGTGGGGGGGAATCTGACATGCATGACACACATACCGGGCAATAATAAGACCGCGACGACGGAGAACGCCACCTGCCTAGAGGAGTGATGCGGCTCTTTGACACTGAATCTCCAGGAACATCTGGCCCACAGCTGTATCTCCAGCAGTCACATGTCTGCAGCAATCACAGCCACAACTGAGGACAGCCTTTGTGTGAGCAGGATATCAAAATAATCTTGTATTCACACAAAGTCAACTGTTAAATCTATCCCCGCCAATGACAAACACCATTTTTCTCTCCACAAAATATCATCTTCGGGCATCGTCAGAAGCCACACAGCCCTTTTCACCCCATCCTTACAAGTGTGCACGAAACAGTGACGTTGTGATGGACTGGATTTTCCTCTTATGTACTTCATCCTCTGACCCGTTCATCAGTAAGTAAGGAATCATTTACTAACCTCTGGGTCTCGTGTGCTGGTTAGTTACTGTGTGTTACTTCTTAATGAACCTCACAAGACACCTAAGCATTGTGGGTAATTATAGTGTAGACCACTGAGCAAGACCTATTTAAATTCTTATTCCTTAATATCTGGGAACATACTGATCAGTACGTCCCTAATTTATCGTCCCTTTATAGATATGCAACACAGCCAATCCGAACTGAAACCAGGGATTCCAGGAATGTATTCTTCCCACTAAAGATCAGTGCATCGGTTTGGAGACCTGCGTCGCAGGCATTTTTCGCACTTTGATACAATTTGAGATCACCCCACCACCGCTGCAGAGCTGGAAGCCGGGGGGCTGGGGAGAGTGGCGTCACTGCAGGGACTCTGCGTCTTGCCTTTCGTGCTCTCACGCGGGACCTGAACTGCGCGACACCGTCTCGGTGCAGTGTGTCCAAGACTCGGCCCACGCTTCGCCCGAATGAAGTCACACATTGGCTGTGAAATGCATCCGCCCATATCATCGTGTATTTATTGAAGAAACTCATCTGCAGACAAAACGCACAGCAGCTTATTAATACAAACCAACTACCAACATGCAGTTGAGCATCAAATTAAAGCATTCACTGAATTAAAGTTCCCAAACAAAAAATAAATTTTACAATTTAACAGTACCTCAAAGCACCCTTCAGTATTTATTTAACAGTTTCTCAACACGTATAGCTCTGTGCGTAGTATCGTTTCAGCCCGTTCTAGCTTTGAAAACTATACCCAACTGGGCTTACCCACCTTCAGCGATATTGACATGATGGTGTGAATCAGCTGGCTAGTTCAGCTTACTCAGATGTAGGACGGTACACCATAGCCAATAAAACAGGGACACAGAGGAACAACACAACTGCTTCTCTGTTCTCGGACATGCCTTCCTGTCGACAGACGCCGTCTCTGCAGCGTGCATGCCTCTCAGCACGTCTCGCTGTTAACCAGACAGCTCCTGGAGTCTGAGCTGGACTGGCAACCTTCAGCCAGCTGCTGTCCTGCTCAGATTAAACACGGCTGCATCTTTAATTAATCGTTTTTTTGCCAAGACAATGAAAAGAAGTAAAACCCTGACAGTCAACATGAGCATGAAACATGAAGAGTCCATTTAAACCGCAACCAGCCTATTTTAGTCATACAATTTAACTTGTGATTATTATTTGGTTTTAAAAACAAAATAAAATAGCTTAAAGGCCAATTTTAGCCTTTCTACGGCACGAACATGTCAAGCTTCTCCGGTGTCATAGTGTACATCATCCAATCATGAATGATTCATGCAGAGCACAGAACAGGAAACAGG